CAAAATTATCCCCGCTGGCGTTTGTCGGCATTTATTCCACGCCGCTCTTCTGCAGGCATTGTTCATCTATCGATTTATATATTTCCTGCGATCTCGATTTGTCAACAGGCTTCTTAATTTTCAGTTGGTCTTGGTTAGCCTGCGTGGACAGTATATACTTGCTCGTGTATGCTGCGCGGGGCGCGTCTCATCAATCTCATCCCTCAATATACATCATTATTTATACATCGCTCTTGTCCATTATATGAGGTTGAGATTTGTCACGTTGCCATTACAAATACTATCATGGGTGATGGTCCGAGGACCGTTTCAAATTCACGTGATTGTATGTCAACTCCTAGGTTCATGTGCACACACGTTCCATTGCCTATCTGTTACGCTTCAAGATTTCCTCTTGCAATACACTGCAACAAAAATGTCTCTATCATTTAAAGGCCAAACTGTCGTAGTCACCGGTGCAGGTGGTGGACTCGGGAGAGTGTAAGTAATCTCTTCATCTCCTGCTCAGGCTGTGACTGAAATGAGTGGGGCAGGTACTCGTTGCTATTTGCATCGCGTGGTGCAAACGTTGTTGTAAATGACTTCAATGCAGAGGCTGCACAGAAGGTTGTGGATGAAATAAAGAAAGGTGCACTTGCTCATTCACTTGTTCCGGCCCGGAGATGTGACGTCGCGTTGGACTGTAGCTGGTGGTAGCGCCATTGCAAACGCCTCTTCTGTGACTGATGGTGCCGCGGTGATTCAAAGCGCTCTAAGTGCTTTTGGAGGTGTATCGATCCTCATCAACAATGCGGGTATTCTGAGGATAGAGGGTTGGTTATGTTTTGATGAAGTGGTTTGGAAGTGCTGATGAGATTCGTAGGCTCAAGAACATGACAGATGCTGAGTTTGACCAGGTCATTTCTGTGCATGTCAAGGGTGCATTCTCGTGTACCAAAGCTGCTTGGCCCCACTTTAGGAATCAGAAGTTCGGGCGCATCATCAACACCGCTAGTGCAGCTGGCATTTACGGTGAGTTCCTGGGTGACTGGATGCGCATTATCTTAGAATTTTGCACAGGAAACTTTGGCCAGGCGAACTATAGCGCTGCTAAAATGGGTCTAATTGGATTCACGAAGTCATTGGCCCGAGAAGGTGCAAAATATAATATCAGCGTCGTCGCTATTGCACCTATTGCTGCATCAGCTATGACTGCAACAGTCATGTCTCCGGAGATGCTTGCGAATCTGAAGGTTTGTGAATGTCGAGAGCGTCATTCCTTCACGCATTAATCTCATTTGACAGCCGGAATTTGTGGCGCCTTTTGTCGCTGCTGTGTGCCATCCCGATGGACCGAACCCTTCTGGCAGAGTGTTTGAGATTGGCGCTGGATTTATTGGAGAGCTTCGATGGGAACGCAGCAAAGGCACCATCTGGAAGACAGACGATACGTTTACTCCTTCAGCTGTCAGTCTGTGGATACATGCGCCCTGCAGTAGCTGACTCTAGTTGTAGGTCAAGCTCAAGTGGTCAGAAGTGACCGACTTCTCGAACCCGAGATAGTAAGGACGTCTCGTTATGGGAGAAAATTTGGTTCAATTGATCTTCTTTCTTACAGCCCAGAGTCCATATCCGATGTCGATAGCACTGTACGCGACAAAAACAAACTGTCTTGGATGTCTTCTGATTGTTTTGTTCCCTAGCTCGAACTCGCTTCTACAATGCCTCCGAATCCCCAGTCAGCACCGCCTGTTCGATTCGACGGCAAGACTGTCATTATCACGGGTGCTGGTGCCGGTCTTGGACGCGCATATGCACTCATGTATGCACGCCTTGGCGCAAATGTGGTTGTCAACGACGTCAGTGAGAAAGGAGCACATGCTGTGTGCTCCGAAATCAAGTCGGGTAGGTTTCCACTTTCGTTCGATGTTCCCAATTTGATGCGAGCTTTCACAGCTGGGGGCAAAGCAGTTCCTGCAGTTTGCTCGGCAGAAGATGGCGAGGCCATTGTCAAGATAGCTTTGGACACATTTGGAGGTGTACATGTCCTTGTAGCGAATGCTGGTGTCCTGAGAGACCGTTCATTCACCGCCATGTCCGAGCAGGAGTGGGATCTTGTCGTGGCGGTGCATTTGCGCAGTACATATAAGGTATCGCTTACGCTTTCAAGTAGCTATTTGATAGTCTCTGATATCGGTCAAGTGCGCAAAAGCTGTTTGGCCCATTTTCCAGAAGCAGAATTACGGTCGTATTGTTACGACCTGCTCACAAGTCGGTATTTGTGCGTTTAGTTTGTTTTCAGTATATCTACGTCTCTCATAACTCGTTGGTTCGCAGATGGTAACTTTGGCCAGACGAATGCAAGGCATTTTTTTCCAGTTTTCAATGCGAGTGCTGATCATCATCAATACAGTATTCATCAGCCAAGGCTGGTATCATTGGTTTCACCAAAACGCTTGGCTTTGAAGGTCGTAAATACAACATCTTGAGCAATGTCATCGCTCCCTCTGCGGGTACTGCCATGACAATGACCGTTTGGCCACAAGAAATGGTCGATGCATACAAGGTCTGACCTTTTACTTGTTAGATATTCCATTTATCCTGCCTTCCCTGCAGCCCGATTACATTGCACCAATCGTCGGCTACCTTACAAGCGAAGCCAACACCGAGACGACGGGACAACTGTTTGAGATTTCTGGTGGATGGGCAGCGCAGACTCGGTGGCAGCGTGCTGGCGGCTACGGGTTCCCTACTAACAGAGTGCTCACACCGGAAGATATCATCTCCAAATGGGACATTTTCACCAACTTTGGTACGTTCCGCGAAATCAATTCTGGAACAGGAGGCTGATGTACGCCTTGTAGATGATGGTCATGCTACAAACCCTACTACCTCAGCTGAAGCTATGCAACAAATAATGGGCAACTTTGAGAACAAGGCGTCGGTTGTGGAGACTGTGAAGGATGCTGTGAGAGATGCTGGAAAGGCATTGAAAGCCAAGTTGTAGGAGTATCATATACTTTAGGAACTGTATCTACCTATCCGTTGTGCATATGCCATGCATGTTAGGTCAATGCATTTGGTTTGCGAACACATTTAGGGAGAGTACGTGCTTGTGCACTCTAACGTAGACGGCCAAATAAAATATTCATTCATTCACAGTATGGTTCAGTTTCTGGAAATGGTAGAATGTTGGCTTCTGTGCCAGATCACAAACCCAGATGCTGACCATCGAATCAGCATCGAAACTTGCATCAAACTGCGAAGACTCATCAGGGAAACGTAATTCAATACAGAGCGCTCTGTAGCGTTCTGTAGCATTCTGCAGCACAATACAACCAGCTGATGCTTCCTAACCTCGTATCATGACAATACGACGACTCACCAGCCGCAGAAATTCCCCTTTGGATATCAAACGATATCAAGCCCGGTAAGCGGTGCGCGGATGAAGTTCCTTGTAACCACGTACGGTTGAGACGGGTTCAGGAAGCCGAGGACAACGGTCCACGTATCTCGAACGAAGATGACATATTTGCAGCAGTGCACGCGTGTGATGATGATGATGATGAAGACCGGACCAGAGCGGAAACGATCTGCCTGATTCTCGTCATACGACCCAAATCGATATATTTCGTCCTGGGCTGATTCCCTCGTGAATGCTTGACGGCCATTCTTAAGGACTGCCCCTAAGCTTATGTATTTCGTCCAGTTGGTGAAAGGCTGCTTACCGAGGGGCAAATCACAAAAGTTGGAGGAGGTATTTAAAATATTCGCCGTGCTTTGCTGTCCTCTTCAACGTTGATACGGTGGATCAGTGTATCACCAGGGTTGCGGTACAGAGAACAGGCTGCAAAGCCGAAGATCAATAACGTGGTCGCCATTGATGGTCAATATCTAACCAACAGCAACATATCAGAGGATCGAACGATTCAGGATGAATCACTAATGGAACCCTGTGGTTTGATGGTCCAGTTGTTGTGAATGAAAACCCCTTGCGGAGTGAATGCATGATAGGATGCGATACAGAATACTTGATGAGTTGTTCAGCCTGTGATCCTGAGGTAGAATTTGATCCCGATGCTTCATAGCTTTACATCGCCTGGAACTTCGGCGTATCATCGATTCATCATTGATCAGGTAGTAATAGTTTTCGGAGCTCGATACGAACTAGTGTTTGAAAATGATAATCACCTGAAAACACGAGTTTCATCATGCACGTCGCTACATGGCCCGTGCCTGTTCCTCAGGATGACGTCGGTCACCGTAGATAGTGAGATCCGGGACCTACGATGATGTCACTTGAATGTAGTGCCAGTGCACGCCTCGCGGCTCTCTAGATCTATAGCTAGTATCAATATTGGTACTGTTAAGGTAGCCGTAGTTGAGAAATACCCAAACTCGTTGTTCTGATTATTGCTAGCTTGTATGTTCTGCTTCGCTTTCCATCATGCACTCGCCGACACGTGACAAATGTCACACTGACGTGGAACTCGATGCAAACTCGACTGCTAAGGTAAGGTTTCAAGTTGACGTTGACTTGGCGGCTAGTTCCTTACCGACTTCAAAGTCACGGTGCTGCGGCGGCAGGAGGGCGTTCCTGAAATGGCCGGTCTTGGTATAATAAGTCTGTCTGGTACAGAAGTGACGATGCTCTGACGGAGTTTGAAGATGCCGGCACCCCCGAGCATCACCACCAGTCAGGGGGCTGCATACCAACACACGGGCCATGGACATCACGTCCCTCTTTTCTGCCATGATCAGCTTGCCACAATTCCACTTCTCAATATTACCATCTTTACAGCTAAGCCATGGTTCGAGCTGCGTGTAAATGGAGGATTCCATTGACACCACCTCCGGTTGGTGGCGGGCATGGTAGCGGAATGACGCGCGTGCGAGTGGCTGATTCGACTCCGCTTAAATTTGCCGAGCGTGCTGAGGGATGACCGTCGGTTAAACTGGCTTGTCTTCATCGTTCCCTGCTGCCGTGTTAATGTTGGGATGGCAGCCGGAATCTTGACATTCACGGCAGGTAATGACAAAGACAAACCAAGCCGTCCACGTCATTGTGAACAAATCCGCAGTTTAACTTGGTACTTCTGCGCATTCAAGTTGTTGTGTAACGCTAATATAAAACTGCACTGTCAGGAGATAAGTTAGCATCTCAACTTACAAGTCTGAACGCCGCTTCTACTATAGGTTTGTCTCTCCGCCGATGAAATATGATAGCCCCGACTCAAAAACCAATATTTCTGTACAGATCATGTCTACCGAACCCGAGTCACGCCCCCATGTGGTACTCTGGGGTGTCGCCAAGCCACCCAATGCACCTAGCTCATCTGGCTTTTGCCAAAAACTGGAAGTATTCCTCAGATTTAGTGGCATATCATACGAAGTAGGCGAGACTGTCCCAATGAAGGCTCCCAAGGGCAAAGTTCCCTTTGCCGATATTAAACATGACGGGAAAACTGTCACCATCCCGGATTCTCATTTTATCATCCGCTATCTCATCGAGAACGGGCTCATCAAAGATCCGGACACTGTAGCCGGCTTGACTACCGTTCAGAAGGGCGAGTCGAGAGCATGGCAGGCGTATATTGAAGAACTGCTATATTCTGCAATCGTTCGAGATCGGTGGTACATAGACGAAAACTATGCAGTGACTGCCGAGGAGATATTTGGGAGCATGGCCTGGCCCATGCGGCCGATGATATCTTGGTTTTTTAGGTGGAGGGTGATGAAGTCAATTTGGAACGTTGGGATGGGACGTCACTCCCAGGAAGAAGCTCAGTCTTTACAGAAAGAGGCTTTTGAGGCTCTCGAAGCAAGGATGTCGGGCCACTTGTATTTCCACGACGGCGAACAACCAACGGGCATTGATCTTATCATCTATGGTTTCCTCGCCAACACACTGGCAACGAGTGGGAACCCGTACTGGGCGGATATGGTGCTAAGGAGTCCTACCCTCCTGGCATTCACAAAAAGGATGACAACCTTGCTCTTCCCCGAATACAAGCTCCTTTTACATCGCATCGAAGCAGTGGAACACAGTGGGTGATTGGGTTTATAAAAGGAACAAATTTCCTTCTATTGTTGGTCCGCCTGCATGTTTCGTATGGTTTTGTCGTTATGCTGGAGTAGACCATCCTTTCTCCCGTTTGTAACTGATTATCACCATGACATTAGTGTACACTTCAAGTCCAAAACTTGTTGTCATGATCTTGCCGCAGTATAATTTAAAAGAGCCGACTGCCGCGGATCGGTTACAGCAAATATTATTCATTACGTTCCGTAGTACCGTAACTAAACGAACTTACCAATCTTGCCACATCTCAGCGCTTAGCTGTTGCCTGCGAGGTTCAACACTGCCGGCGACAGCGACCAAGGCTGCGCCTCAACGTTCAACGAGCAGCGTCGTGCAAATTATTTGCTCGCTCGACTGAATGTAGGTATTATCGTTTGACTGAGTGCTAGGTGTCATTAACATATTCGGCAGCAAGCTTATCGTGCCATTATTTCATTCATAGTATCTGTGGCTCTCACTCCCTTCCGCTAAGGCAACACTCTTTTCTTGATTTCAGTCGTTCCAGTCATTTTCATTTTAACCATCATCGTACCATTCAACCATGTCCCATCGCCCCGATGTCCTGCGAAAACGACAGACGCTGGGTGGTCTTTCCGGATCCGTGATAGTCACTGACACTTCGCCCACCGCAACTGCTCTCGTTCAAAACACCACACCGATACCTGGTTCGGGTTCCCAGACGGGCATTCAACTTGCCTCCTCGACACCTTCCGCATCACCGACTTCGTCGTCAGTTGCACCTGCTGTGACCTCCTCCTCACCCACTTCCTCTTCCGGAAATAACATACCATTAAGTACTGTCATCGGCGCCTGCGTCGGCGCATTCATCGTCCTCGTACTGGTAATCTCTTTAGCCATCCACTGCTCAAGACGAAAAAAGCCGCAGCCCCGCAATGCTGATAATCCGTACCGCCGGCGTTTCCATTTACAACATTGGGATCGCCTAAATGACGACAAGGAGGGCCAACAGCATGGGTCGCAAAGGCCTCAATCTGGGCCGATGGAGAAGTTGGGCGCAATGTTCCATCGTACACCCAGCACAATCTCTGGAGAAAAGTCCTCTGATACCCATGGAAACCGCGAGTCCATAGGCACGATGCAGCACTTTGCCAAGTATCATCCTGGCTTGGCTGAGGAAATGGCATCAAAATCTGCAGGTTTAGGTCACCAGGTTGTCACTAAACCTCCACCTGTACAGCGGTTTATGAGCCGCACTCAAGCTGATGGTGTGCCAACCATTTCATGGGACAGCGATACTGTCGGTGGGGGCTCGCTCTTCTCCGTGAAGTCGCGTCTATCTGGTACCATGTCACCTACGATGACTGCGGTCAAGTTCACGCCACCTGCAACTGTGTCTGGGTCACATCGCTGGGAGAGTGCAGAGGTTGGCCATATCGATGTACATGGTTCAGAGATGTCAGAAGCGGGCGATTCACGCAATCCTTTCGCGGATGCGGCTTCCGTCAAGAGTGGCATCAGCCGACGCGTCACTAACCCATTCTTCAATGCGCAGGAGAAACCCCAAAAGCGCACACTCTTTGCCAACACCACACTCGAATCCAATCCCTTTGCCGACTCAAATATTCCCACTTCGAAACCTTTCCTTGAAGTTGAAACTCGCTCAAATAGTGATACCAGCTCCAACAATTCCCACGCTATGCAAAGTCTCATCGCTGCACTGGACATGTCAGCTGGGCCACGTCTACCCGTGTCATCTATGCGATCATCGAATTACTCCCATAGCTCAACAATCATGTCTTGTGATGAAGTTGATGCTGTGAGTGTGACAGCCTTCCCATATCCCCCAACGCAAGTTCCACTCAGATGATCCACTTCCAAAACAACACGCTTCGCTTTCCATTAATATGTGCAAACTTCATTTCGCATCAATACATACTGCCATCTTGATACATTATTTCATATTTGTATCTCGCGCATCCCACCTTCATACTTTTTTTTTCATGGGGGCGCTTTACGGTCCGGTATCGACGTGTACCCCTCCCACTTTGTCACTCCTTGATCTTTTGCATGGGAGCAGCTTGTTTTGCGCTTTCCCTGTTACGTTGCATCTTGTCCTTACTACTTGCTATCCAAATTGTTCTGAGGTAGATTTGTTATATTTGTTATATTTATTGTTACTAGCTTCACCATCTACGCCTTCTCATAGGAACCTTCAATGAAAAATGAATAGGGTAGACTTGTAAAATGTGAGCGCTGTCACTTGTGCGAGGCCTTCAGGATGTCAAAGTCTGTAACTGGTGCAACGACAATCGTATTCAGAGCATACTGGTTTGAACTGAATTATGATATTTGTTTTCGTATCTATAGGAGTTCATATCATAAACTCGCCACATGCACAGGCGAACTCTGAATCTAAATGAGTAATGTGTAATCTTGCGGGCGGAAGCCAGGTGGACCACGATTGACAACCTACTTAAGACGTACCGTGACTGATAGAAACAAGAACTTTCCTTCGGTTGGTTCTTGTTTTCACGCTAAACAACATCCGTGCATAATTGTTGGGCCCCATGATGTTGGTAGCCCGTGTAGTCGTTGATCAATGATTGATAATAATATCTTGTGACCAACTTTAACTTGAGCAACTGCATTGGAAGCCCAAAAATCTCTTGTCTCCAAGCCCACAAAGACGCCTTTCCTCTCTTATCTCTGCTGGGAGATCATCGCTTGGTATGTCATCGCCTTCTGCTCCCCACGGTTCGAAAGGCGTGCATGCCATCTAAAACGTCACAGTGAGCTGCTGTCAACCGCAAATCGATGACGGGTGGGTGCCTCACCTGCATCACTTTCGCCATGATACGTTTCCCACTGTCATGGTCCGCCTCAACTTTTTTGATAAGCTCCTCAAGTACCCACTGTCTGAGCACAAAACGTGGGTTCACACTTTTTGCAGCGTCTTGTCTGGCGCTGTCAAAGTCAGCCTCACCAGCCCACTCTTCCCCATGACGCTCGGTTTCAATACGTGCACTGTACTTGTCCAACCAAGCAATCCATTCTTCAGTAACTTTCCCATGATCCATGCGGTCCGGATCAGGCGTCCCGCTCAAAATCCCCTTGATGAATGCCTCCATTCTCTCACTATCATCTTCCTTCATCATCCCAGTGTGGAAAAACGCAAGCCGTCTAAAAGTGCCATGGAAGTCTAGCTGTTGCGCCTCCATCATGTCCAAAAGAGGCTGCATGATCTCCCGCTGGTCCGTTTTCTCCTGACGGCGAAGCCCCAGGCGTTTGCGCATCAAGTTTCCGTATTCGATAGCGCAAGTTTCTTCGATAATCTGTTCCATTTCTACTTTAGGAAGTTGTTTGCCTTCTGTGCGCCATGAGACGAGTGTCTCAGGCGTGGCTGAAGATGCCCAGCCGGGTTGGACTGCTTTGTTGCCTTGTGCAACTTCTGCACCGATAAGTGGGGAGAGTGCATCGAGGAGAGCACGACAGGCGTAGATGCTGTAAGTGTGCTGTTAGAATGTCGGAAGACAGTTGTGACTTAAAAGACCAACATCATGTTTGGCTGATACTGGGTTGAGCGTTAGTTAGCTTACGAGCGGACATGAATAGTGTTTGACCCACCTTGTATGCATAGCGACCTTCTCCGTCACTATGATTACAGATATGGTAAGAGTCGAAGACGTCCATGAATGCATATGGGCCGTAATCTATCGTCAGCCCAAGGATCGATATACTGAAACCAAATATTCAGTCGCCTAAATTAGAAGTGGGAAGAGAGGTTTCACTTGTCCGTGTTCATAACACCATGCATGAATCCATAGGCCTGCCAAGCAGCCACCATCCGTGCATTTCGTCTTGCAACATCAAACAAGAGTTCTTTACCCCAAGCATCACCAGCCTCCCAGTCGATACCTTTCAGTTTTAACACTCTCCTCGCAGTCCACTCACCCAACTGTCGCAAAGCCTCATAATCTGCGTCTTGCTGACCGCCACCGAGGAAGAAAGAATTGGATGGAGGACTGAGGGCTTCAAAGTTACCAATACGTATAAATGTTTCTGCAACGCGTGTGGCGATACAAGCGGTTTCTGTACGCTCTCGTGTGACTGGTAAGTCAGGGAGGGAGATTAGACTTAATGACCTGGTAGTCGGGATCGAGAGTGCATGCATGGCTACAATTTCGTCAGTGCAAGCCCGGCACTACCAGCAAGAACATCTTCACCTTCTGAGCAGAGGTATTCTCGGATGGATGAGCGAAGTACAGCTAAACCATCCGCAGTGCGGGAGAAGGGGGTCCGTCCAGCACCCTTCAGCTGTATTTCATACGTGGTTTCAGCGTCTTCGGGGTGCGGTGTTACATCTAGCAACCTGTTAAGACATCCTGGAGCAGGCGTGGAATAGATGACTGACGAATTGAAATGGCGCGGCCGTCACCAAGCTGACCAGCCCAGGAGCCAAACTGGTGGCCGCTGTACCTGGCGGACCAGGGTGCAAAGCTAGGGCCAAAGCTGGACTCGGGTGCCATCAAAACGGCATGACCACTCAAAACATCCACCAATTCCTGCCGGGCAGCCTCAGCCTTTGGGGAAGAGGTCGAGATAACCTCTTCTTCTATCAGAGGGGCCAAGGCCGGGTTTCCCAGCACTTCAAACGCATCGCCAACGTCTAGATGTGGTAGGCAGTCTCTGAGGCACGTCTCAGACAGCCCGATGAGCTCCCTCTTCCTATCTCTGAGCTTGGAGGTATATTTGTTCAATGAAGGCTGAATTTGACTGCTAACTGTAGACGAATGACGAGCTTCGCGCTCGCTGAGCCACTGCTCGATGTAAGCAGCCTTGTCCTCGATGACGGCAGGTGGGTCAGGCGGTGTGATTTCGTAGGGAAACTCTAGTGGCATTGGATTCACATACGAGAAGTGTGATTCTTTGGAGAGTAGCCTTGCACGCCTCTGTAGACTTGGTTTGTTTGGCAAGACATCAGAAAAGAACTCTGCTGGACTCAGGGTAACTGGATCTGGGGTAAGGTTATGCGTCACGATGTGGCTTGACGGCGGCAGGGGCAATGAGGAGATGGGTACTTTACGAAAGTTTGCCATTATGGAACGAGCACGCAGAGTGTTCATGCACAGCTGATGGAGAATGACGTCGAATTCAAGCACTGGGAGGGGCCGTGTGTTGACAAGTGTTTATAATTAAGCTGATCGGAGTCACGGTAATTCAATGTGGGCCAGCCACTCTAAAAAAAACCACTTCCGTGGTGGCAGGACCTACTATGTGTGATGAACGCAACGTCTCAGAAGACTGAAGACTGGCTTCCTGTGGGGTGATTCAGGCGTGTCTGAGTCGTTTTTCGTTATATATACACCAGACCAATAAATCAGGATCAGCGTGCCCGGCCAGCATACAAGATCGATCGGTCAGATTCGGTGGACTATTAACTAGATCTAACGAAGTGCGTGCATCGTCTTGTCGTCATTATGATCATGTAGCCGGATATCCGAGAGCAATTGGGGGCGCACTGAATTAGGTATCTGAAGCGTGTTTGGAGGCGCTGCAGGAGTGATGGCAGAGTTGCTAGATGCAGGAAGGTGAGCATTCAATCGATTCAATTCTGACTTATCACGTCGACAGTGCCCATGCTCATTGAGAAATTAGGACACGCACTTTTTCGATTATTGCGTGTCTTCTAGACTACACTATGATGATCTAGTAAGTGATGGAATTCCTAAACCAATACAAGTTTGGAAAGATCATCAATGCATCACGAGAACAGCATTCAAGAATTTGGAAGCAAGTTCCCGACATCACGAACAGCTTTAACGTGTAGAGCGTTCAGATATATGTTTACCCAGTTCGTTACTCAATCGCACCCATCCAATATGCCCTTCATCTCAGATATCCCATTTGGTGGCCGCTGATCAATGAGATATCGTTTCAGCAAGATGCAACGCTGGTCCCACCTACACCTGTACGAAGCTGGAATTGTCGCACTAGTCTTTGTACCTCATTCTGCAAAGTTGGCAAAAAAACAGCCAATCCCATGCATGTGATTCTCGCGAGAGAGGCATAGGGTGCTCAGGCCTTGGACCATCAAAAATGATGCTTCGCCACTGATAAGGCTGTTGGCTTAGAAGCCAGTATGTGTGCGATGTTACTGAAAGGACTTGTTGATGAGTTATGTGTCTGGGAGTTCAGTCAAGTGAGTGTTGAATTTTGACGCTGCCCTACTAAGGCTACCACGATACACTCTTCCGGGAAGAATTCTGGGCATAGCTGGCTCAGACTCGGACACGGCCTGTGCACACATTGGCGATTGATGCTTGCAGCTAATATTTGTGCTCACCGTCTTTTATGGGTTACCCTCCTGGTGCACATTGAGTCATTGACAATGTAGGCTTTGTACTCGTTAGCAACACCGAGTCCCGAAACTGCGCTGTGCCCAAACTTCGTGCATGCAGGCCCTGCCCGAGCTCAGCTCTAGCGAGCCTATTTGCGACAAGTTGATACTTATTCGCTACAAACACCAACAATGATCTTTCGCCTCGCAGTGTTTATGCTTGAGACTGGCAGGAGATAATAATATAATGACCGACTCACTTCTATAGCAATACCTAGGATGAACTTTTTTCATGCTACACTCCAATATACCAAAGCAGCCGAGGAAGCCTTGACGACCACTTGTCCATTTGACACTTTTTCCTCTACAATGTTGCCTTCTGCGACACCAGAAGCAAAAGTTTGCCCTGCCCAAGTCGTTAAACTGGCTGACACGACATCAGATCCTGGGGCTGTCAACCACTTGACTGTTACTTCTTGGGTGTTCTTCGGCAAATACGCAGATATGTCGACCGTGGTATCAGGACGAGGGTACGTATCCGTCTGGCTGTATAACTCAAGGTTTAAGAGCGCGAGCTTAGTTGGGTAATCGTAACTGTTAGCGGATTTTTCGTCCCAGAAACCGTACACCGAGATCTGACCAGCAGAAAGATCACCACCTGCGGTCGTAACTGACGATCCATCGGCCTGTCGCCCTGGAAAGATATTTGAAAGGCGTAGTGAATTTGAGTAACCAATGGCCTCAGTCACGAAGAGGTAAGCCGAATATGACGGAAACACTTCAATGGGGCCATTCGGGTTATCGACAGTGGACCTGTGGAATCAACATCAGTCCAGAGATGTCGTAAAGTCACATATCGACATACCAGAGGTTGTAGTGTGCATGAGCACCTTGATGCACATACATACTGGAGATCAGATTAGGCTACAAGTTCATCCGAGGCACCCTGGATCACGTACCGTGAGACATTGATGGAAGCCGCGTAGAGAATCGTGTCTAACTACAGAAATGCTCAGATGTCACAAAATATAATCCTTTTGTCAGCGTACCAACCATATAGCCTGGCCGAATGTGTCGCTAACGTTGGCTCGTCCACCGCAGGAAACAGAATTGAATTCACCTTCGTCGTGGATCAACATATATTCAACATTTAATCTTATAATTTGCCTCACCAATAACAAAAGCATCAGGTCCGAGTTGGGCACGAACGCTGTGGATACGGGGCTGCCACAGATCCAAATATCTACTGGAGATTGGTGTACTGTGATCATAGCAATAGCCATGACTTACTCAGCCAAGCGTGTGTGATTTACCTAGATCCTTATTGCAATTAATAATTGCAATGGATAATCGACAGCTTGCGTACCAGGTTGGCCAACGTAGCGCCGGCAGCGCTACTTGGATTGCAAACCTATTGATAAAGGCTATTTCAGGTTCGGTGTGGGTCAATCGGGAGCTTCCTCACGCTGTACTGGTATGTGTGTTCGCTACACGTGGCGACAGTGTGTCCGTCGTTGGCCCCGGCAGCCAGAGCGCTAACACAGTCAAGTTGTGCATCTGTTTGTGGGGTGTTATGCGGCTGCGGAGGGTTTTCAACAGTAGCCCCAATTTGAAACTCGGGATAATCAATGCTCAACGCCTTCGAGATATTGATAGTCCATGGCTAGCATCAGTGAACCGGTGAAGAAAGTAGAAAGCCATATATCACAATATATAGTACACAATCGCACACATCAGCATAATTCTGCCATCGGTCATTACATTATCATGTTTGACCTTGTAGAGGAAAGAAGCGTTTTTCATTTTCTTATATCTGCTTCCGATGTCAAAGCTACTCAGGAAAAACCTCCTTCTCAAATTGGATGAAATGCGATCCAACTTGCACAAATCTGCAAGAATTTGACGATTTGGCAATCTGTCCAATTATTTTAATCCCTTTCAAATTTTCGTAAATAGGATCTCAATTCACGACAATACTAGCACATTATTTTCAGGCAGCTTTTCCAATTCAATTAAATGATATCAAGCAAATTCCATTAAATTTTAAATCTGACATAAACAGCGAACATCTATCTATCTATTATAGATGAGAGCGAGTGAGAGATATGTTGTTGTGTCGTCGTTGTATCCGTCGTCATCATCGTTGTGTCGTCGTTGTTGTGTCGTTGTGTCATCGTCATCGTCGTCTCGCATCATGTCGTCGCGTCGTCGTCGTGTCATCATCATCTCGTCGCATCGCGTCGTCGTTGTCGTCGCATCGCATTGTCGTCGCATCGTGTCGTTGTCGTCGCATTGCGTCGCGTCGTCGTCGTCATATCGTCATTGTCGTCGTCGTCGTCGTATCGTCGTCGTCGTCGTCGTCGTATCGTCGTCGTCGTGTCGTCGTCATTGTCGTCGTCATATCGTCGTCGTCGTGTCGTCGTCATTGTCGTTGTATCGTCGTCGTCGTGTTGATGTTGTTGGGTTGTTGCTGTCGGGTCATCGTCGTTGTCATCGCACCATCATCGTCGGCCAAAGTGGCAAGTGAGAGTAGCGATGAGTGAGAGCGAGTGAGAGCGGGAAGAAAAGTTCAAGTTGAACTTTTGTGAGCGCACCGTCACATGAACAAACATATACAAATGTTGGACTTAGGATATTTCCAGCGCTGTAGCACAATTGATCCCGCTGATGCCTTGTAGAGCGCCGCTGTACTTTCACATTTGCAATAAGCAGCAATCAGAAACATGTAAAGCATTGTTTTTAAAATACTTAATGTAGTCTTATTGAAAGCGGAGGCCGCTGGAAGCGGTACAGCCAGTTTCAAAAGTTGTCCGCTAAAGGTATCTTCTCACGAGAAGGGCTTGAATAGCATTGTAATGGGATAAATAAATAGGGCCAAACGACAATGCACGAAATAATTGGGATAAGTCTACTACCACCCCTCATTATCTGAAAAGGAGGAATGTCATAGCTTTGTGACTAAATCTAATGGTATTTTATATTTGTCGACAAATGCCCGAGGCTCTTTCCATCAAAAGGCCTTAAATAACATTGTAATTAAAAAACAAGATCAGGTAAGATGTCGAAGCTCAAAACAATTGGCTCAGGTATACTACCACTACTCATTGGCTGCAAAGGCGGAATGTCCCAGGATTGTTATAAATCATTCATGTTAAGCTGGATTTACAAGCATACATGAGTATATATGTGCAACTCAAATTGCTCGCAGTATATAAGCTAATATTTGGCGGCAGCAGAATTACATCGTGCTATACTTCCCACGGCTACAATATCGAGGACTCATCAATTCACTGATGTAAATACAGAACATGTAAGACCTCATCAAGGAGACAGATAGGAATAGAAATACCTCCCATATAGCGGTATACGTCTGAGGGTCAAGTTTGGGGTTATAATGGTCTGGTTCATTCCCTACTGAAGACGAGTAAAGGTTAGACCGGGGAGGGTCAGTAGGAGAAACGAATGACTCACGTTCGAAGCGAGAAATTTGGGGTGAACCAAGACCCATCCATGCTGCTTCAGCCATATCAAGAGTTCCGGTATAATTCGAACTCCCTAGATTCTACACGGACTAACTAGGTGCCGACATCCAATGATCTGATAAGTAAATGACCCACGAGTGTCATGACGATCTTCGTCCCTTCAGGCAACAGCTTCACACAATTCCAGAACTGGGGTCCAAGCGTAGTGTTTCTTAGTGCACCCTTGTCGTCGATGAAATTGTATAGGGCAGCCTCCTGATTCGGATCCCAGAATGTCGAGTCAGCAGTAATGCCACCAATGCGCACTTCGGCTGAAACCCCAGTACCGTTGCCCAGACGTATCAGGTTGTTTTTGGAATTTTCAATTTTAGTGTGAGATACTTTTACGCCGTTTGACCGTCACGTGATGTCCGGATTCGGCCGGATTTCTGGAACCCTTCTGCTTTTGGGGGTGGGCAAGTCTTTGTGTGCTGCTTTTGCATTCTTTCTCATTGCTGGCCAATGCAATCTATGTTTCGAGTTCCTTTCGATGAACGATTTGCCAAACAAATCAAATTATCTTGTCGAGTCCCACCAACTGTGTGTGAATCCATGACAAACAAACAAATCTATGAGGAGGACAGTGCTAGTCCTAAGAGACAGAACTTTGAAGCTAGTTTGTGTGCATGTGTGTGTGGGGGTGGTGAAATGTCTGTGAGTCTTGAATGGTTGTGCCATGGATCAGTGTGTGTGTGCGTGGATGGACGAGGCTTCCTCTATCAACTTGGGAAGACTGAATGCAGGTTGTGATTGTTAGTGCTGCTGTGGTCCGGTTTGGTCTGGTTCACAGAGGGTCGAGCGAGAACCAAGAACTGGACCTAGGTCTGGTTCTACCAGACTCGACGAACCTCAAACTGGACCTTGGCAAATGGTTCAGAATGGTCAGGTCTGGTTATTTTCAGGTTTGAATGTGAACCAAACCAAATTTATTTATAATGAGCAAAAAAAAAACATAGGTAGGACTTGTTGTGGTGCTGCAGTCGATGGTCTCAATATCAAGAAGTAGGAGGGCATGAAAGATGGGGCGTGGCATGAGAGAACAGGTGGGAGAGAGTTAGCATGAGAATGGGCACAAGAGGACAGGTACGAGAGAGCAAGCATGAGAAAATGGGTGCAAGATAATTGAAGATGAAGAAGTCACTCACCTAACACCTCAAACTCAGTGGTTTTGGTTGCCTTTGTCTTTGTTGGTGCATTGATTTTAGGGGTGGAGGCGGTGGTTTCGTGAGAGTGGGATGATGGGCTTGCAGGAGGAGTTGCACAATAAGATGTGTGGTCTGATTCGTCAGTTTGAACCATGGTTCAGGACTGGACCACAGTAGCACTAGTGATTGTCAGCATGAGGCAGATGCTACAGGAAAGATGCATACTAGTAGTATGGACAGAGGACAACTTGACAAGCACTGCAAATTTGGTGAGAAGTAAATACAGCACTATAGAGCCTGTACGCACGTAGACAGACACTCATATGTTGATCATTAACTAAAATCCAAAGTTGTTTAGAATTTGTTACAGTGTCACAGGCCTGTCACAACCATGCATGCATCAATTTCACCTGGCCCAAGAGCTGACACACTTAAACATCTATCTCTACTTGTAGGTTTCTTAGACAGGGTCACATGGCTGAGATGAGAGCTAGAACAAATATGTAATCTCAGTATCTGGGAGGAAGACTCCAGGTGCTATAAGTACCTAGAACAAATATGTACTAAGTCTTTGTTAGTAGCTGGTACATTATACGAAGGTAATAGCACTTACATCTCAGTATCTGGGAGGAAGACTGAGATGCCTAATTCTACGAGAGACTGTTTTTATGTGCAGGTAGAGCAGGAATGAATGAAAATTAATCTGAGACCTTTTGATATGACATTCAGCTGATGATGAGCAAATGTCCAAGAAATGATGTGCTTGCACCTAATCCAACGTGTCCGACGCGCCTCTCAACACTACTCTCATGCTGTCTGTCTCACTTTATGATCATCCTTGGGAGCTGAAAAACATGCTGTCGAAGGTCTGTTTGCAGTACAGTACAGCAGGAAAGACTTACAACAGTCTTTATCTTGGTTTCACCCGCTAGGATTTGTTGAATGGCTTGTTGTTGTCTGAATCGTTCGAGTTGAAGAAGACCAAGAGAGCTGATGGCAAGGCATGAGATGTCAAATAGAGAGTGCAAGCACAAGGGGAGAAGGGGCAGGCACGAGGGAGAGCTGACACCAGGCCCGAAGCTGCACATGTATCAAGTTTCATTCTAATATAGCGAGAAAAACACTCACAGTATAAAGTCTAGCACCCATGCAGATGAGCATCTCAGTTCTGTTTCCAGAGACTGAGATGTGAGTACCTATACCATACCTTATCGTAAACATATGCTGACACAATGTAGTCTTACCTATCAGGTACATGTTTTGTTAATAAAGAGTTCTGTTTCCAGAGACTGAGATTCTTACCTATCAGACTCCTTGTGACCCTCTTGCTTGTTATAAATGCCTTTATGGCGTGTATAATATCTGTCCTTGAAGTTCTTGTCTTCACTATTATTGACCTGCATCCTTGGAACGACAGATGACTTAATAGTAGATATAGAATAATAAACTAATGTTTGGTTAGAAAGAATGCAAAGCAGCACGCAAAGACTTGCCTGCCCAAAAGCAGAAGGGTTCCAGAAATCCGGCCGAATCCGGACGTCACGTGACGGTCAAACGGCGTAAAAGTATCTCACACTAAAATTGAAAATTCCAAAAACAACCTGATACGTCTGGGCAACGGTACCCCAGTCCTCTCTTTTAGATTCTCAAAGAGATTTTGAGAAAATTTGTTCGGATAGGATTGGTTTCCTATCAAACCTTCGAAGTAGGCAGTTTCAACACTGAAGCTTGCGAGGGCGGGGTTTAAGGGTGGTGTTGCATCCGTTGGGAGCGAAGCCGGACCGGACAGCGTCAATTTTGACAGACTGCGAGACAAAAGAGCATGTCTCGCAGATACCAGTGCGACACAAGGCAGAACTGTAGCCAAGAACCACATCACGCAGGAAGAAACAAGTGAGGTCAAGGATACCATCTTAATCACACCTCACCGTGGCAGTATTTTATACGGATGAGAAGAGAGCATGAGCGGTCCGTGAATACAAATTCCAGAACTATCCGTATGTCCAGAGAAATGACAGGTCACAGAACGCGAAAAATTGGTCATGGAAAAGCCTAGGTATCCCCCAAGCCTGCAGTTCGGCGAAACTTTCCAATGGATAAACTTCGGAGGTAGTCACCTTGGGGCCTGGAGGTCACTTCCTTTCTTTGACAAAAGTCATGGCAAAACAAAGTTGCCCAAGGTTCCCACATGCATATGGGAGTAGCAACGTCACGTACGGAGAAACTGTTGGTCGGACGAACGGAGGAAGAATCAAGATGTTTGGTCTTGCTTGGCTATGCCCTCTAAGAAACAACCAAAGGGCTAACCGGAGATTCTCATTGGCTACCGACCCATGTTCACTGACGTCTAGGGGAGACTAGCATTTACCTGCTCACTGACTACATACGACGTCGAGATTCTAATCAATGTCGCTCAATGGCATCAAAGTAGTAGAAGTACGTTGCAGTTGGCCTTGTGGTGAAACAAACAAACAAACGACGAACGTCCACAGTTTGCGGGCCTGGCACCGGGTCCATTCGCGGGTCTGGTACTCGCTCACAATGGGGCATCCGTTATCCGCATTGATCGCCCTTCCTCAACTACCAGAGATCTACTATGCGCGGGAAAGCGGTCGATTGCGTTGGACATGAAGACTGCGAGCGGACTGCGAGTTGCGAAGGATCTCATCGCTAAAGCAGACGTTCTTATTGATCCATTCAGACCCGGAGTGCTTGAGAAGCTTGAGCTCGGTCCTGAGGTGTTTCATACAAGTGACAAGCGGGAAGGTCTGAATGACAAACTTGTATATGCAAGGCTTGTAGGGTGAGGGTACACACCAGCGTCTGAAATACCATCCAGCTGATACTCCCTCGAGGTTCCCAAGAAATGGTATGCATGTCAGGTTTATATTCTTGCTTCTTCTCAATGATTTCAAGGCAAGCACTCTACTATGGCTGGTAAGTATCATCATATACGCGTGGTTTAGTCTAAGATTCCCGTCACAGGCCATGATATCAATTATATCGCCCTTAGCGGCATTCTCTCCGTGCGGCTCGCTAAGCGCTTGTTCTTTGATGAAGCATGTCTGAACTCTTCTTGCAGATGCTTCCGGGAACAATGCACAAGCCCACCTTTCCTTTGAATCTAATTGCTGACTTTGCTGGAGGCGGCCTACTTTGTGCAAATGGTATTTTACTGGCTATTATCGAGCGAGGTAGGAGTGGCCGTGGACAAGTCGTCAATGTGGACATGGTACGTGCCGGGGCATTTAGTCTCAATGATTTATAAATATAGGTGTCAGGTTTCTGGTTCGCGTTATATATCGTCTTTTCCACTTCTAAGTGCTGGGAGCAGTGCCTGGGCAGGACCACGAGGCACCAATGTCCTTGACGGTGGCGCGCCGTTCTACGATGTTTACATCTGCTCAGATGGAAAGTGGATGAGCATAGGGTGTCTTGAGCCCCAGTTCTTTGCGCAATTCGTTGACAAATTCAACGAGGTCATGAAATCCAGTGGAAATCAAGGGAGCTGGTCACCGCTACGGTCGACACAATACATAAAGGAAGATTGGCCCAAACTTCGCAAGTATCTCGAAGACGGGTTCAGAACCCAACCAAGAGACTTTTGGACAGAGGTTTTTCACGGCAAGTATTACATCACAGAAGGGTTCTGCTGATTAATTTGCCATCATTAGGCACTGACGCTTGTGCAGTTCCAGTCCTGTCTCCTACGGAAGCAGCTCAGCTCCACGGATCTCCCTACCCTGTTCCTCATCCGGAGCTCAGCAGAACATCGCCATCACCTCTACAAGATGAAATCAAAATACTTGATCCAGGGAAACATAGTGTAGACATTCTCAGAGAACTCGGGTTATCTGAGGAGGACATGAGGCAACTCGTCGCTGAGGGAGCATTGGGTAAAGAAGCACGGGAACTAGTAGAACGTTCCAAATCGAAATTATGAAAAACGAGATATAACGTCTTAAAGACCATAACTAAACCCTAATTAATGCTGAAACTGATGAACAGGTACGCAGAGAGTATGAACCAGACTTGTAGAATATCTATCACGCTGGTGCGTCTACCCGTCTTCGTAGCTGCTGAAACGAAAAATTGGGTGGAAGAATAGTAGCTAACTGCTGCCGTATGCCTTGAACCTGTTGGAGAAACTGCCGCAACTGCATGCCATATGCCTCAGCGACAACAGCCCAGTCGTATTCCTGCCCTCCATCGTATAGCAGTGCAGTAATTTGACAGGAAACAACCTCGGTAGATATGAACTCTTTGGCTCGATTAAGCCCCCAGTGGAACTCGTTCGAAAAGGGACCTGCATTTGGTCCTTTAAAGCTGAGCTTGCTGAGCGGTCTGCCCAACACTTTGCGCCCTGTGACCAATTCCTGAAGGAGGTTCATCGTAGGCGAAGGCTCGTCGTCAGGGACACCACCTGCGCCGACCACCTGCGCGCAGTACTCATGTGTGTGCAGGGTAACAGTGCGCAATTCTGGCCACAGTGGTGGGCAGCCGTGAATGGCCGCTTGTTTATCACTGTTCACGAGCATGCGTATCAGGTAATTTGTTTTGTCGACAGGTACAAGCAGTTGGGAGACACCAGGGGTTGCGCGAAGAAAATGAATGTCCATGTCCTCGCTAAACTCGCACTTGATATACCGTAACACCTGCAAGGACTGGAACGCATCCGGATAAGACTGTGTCATGAATCTGTGAATTGCAGATATTGCGGAGCAATTCATATCCACGAGGTAGAGGCTCTCGATATTAGGCGTGGATATCACGTCAAATATACGTATGCCCGTTGACACGGCGAGGCCATGCACCACTAATTCCCTCAATGAAGGCAAGAGGATAGGCGGAATAGGGGCTACATTATTCAGCTCTATAGCCGATTTCACATGGAGCCTGCGGAGAAACGGGAATGCTGACATTGCTCGGAAGAGTTTCTCGCGTGTGAGCGGGAAGGGTGGCCCTGGTGGTGGGCAAAAATGGAGTGTCTTTGCTTCTGTTTTGGGCAGGATGACTGCAACGCTGTCGAGCCTAACATCGGATAACAAAGGAGCACCTTTGGTGAAGAGTTTTGCAGAAGCGATGGGACCTGCAGTCGACATTGGTCCTCTGCACATCACTCGCAGCCGTGTCAAAGCAGGCGCGGACACGTTACGAAATGTTGCAAGAAGCGACGCCAAAGCCTCTCGTGAAACTGCGTCAAGAACCAATTGTCTGAAACGGGGAAGGTGTGGTAAGATAATATTGGTCAACACGTGCTCAATCTGAGGGTGCTGTCTCCATGGCCCGATGTATACGTCGAGAAGTGACCCATCTGACCTCTTCAAATATTCCATGAGTGAATCCTCTTTATGCGAGAACGGGTAGTGAATAGAGGACCAAAGGGAAGGTGAGGTGAGGGCTACCTCACGCCAATGACTTGATACATGCGACAGTCGTACCTCAACGGGAGACTGGTGGAGAAGGAAGAGAATGCCAGACCATTGTGGATTGAGCTGACGGCACTCCTCGAATATCATCGAAAGGACATCAGAGGGGATACGTGACACCGCTGCCTTCTGATTCTGTATGCGAGCTGCACGGACCTGTAGATTGCGGATCGAGCGAGACAGCTCGTCCTGTGAAGACTGGAGTACCCGAATCTGTTGTGTTATCTCATCAAAATCTTCCTGAGTATTGCTGTTGACGCTAGCCTGGTTGTGGTTCATCGACGGCACGTCTATGAAATAAGTCAGCTGCTGCAAAAGATCCCATGTTGTCTGATGAGGCTTACATCGAAGAACAAAGAAGTTCAGTGATATTTTCTCGTAAACCTCCCAGGGTTAAAGGGCAGCTATAAAAACACGTTGAGAACACGTTTTCTTGAGGAGGTTAATGTCGGAGGGAACTACCTGAATCGGACAAGGTGCGGGGGTGAGCCAGCAGTAGTAAAAGGTCAGACTCCGTCAGAGATGAAAACAAGACTGTGGTCAAGCGAATTCTCGCAATCAATCGGTGCTGGTGCGGATCCGAAATCTTGTCATGATGCCTCAGTGCGGCGGCTACGGTCTGGCCCCATCACAGTGGTGCCATATGATCTAACGGAAGTGGGCGTATCGTTTCAAGTTCATCTGTTCCGGTGGCTGTGCTTTCATATGACGGTTGCCCTAGGTATGTGAAATCATGTCGAAATACAGTAAATTACAGATAACGAGCAACAAAGCTGAGAATCAAGTCCCGTTTAGAATGAGAGAACATCTTTCTATGGAACCTGTGCATGTGTTGAAGGGTATGCCATGACTGGAAGCCCCCGGGGATGGATAGCTGGAGTACCGTGGGGGGCAAACTGTTGATGCTTCTTGAACATGAAAAGACGATATTGGTTTCCAATGTAGTAAGCAACAAACGCCCAATCCATTTCTGAATCCTGAACGTCGATTGAAGAAGGCAAAGATGCCGAAAAGAGTTCGGTGTGAAGTTCTTCGTGCGTTTTCACGAGGAGAGTTGTGAACTCCTCATAGAATGAACGAGCGTGTGGGCCCTCGATCCGAAGAAGGTCAAGAGGCCTGCCCACCGCTCTCCTCTCCTGCACTACCTCCAATAGTAGTCCCATCGTTGGGGGCGGGTCATCTTCTTCGTCGGAGTCCACATCCTCTCTTTCTCGGTCCAAAGGCTTGGAAACGTGAAGAGTCAAAGTATGGAGATTGCGCCACAATGGAGGGACCCCATGAAGGGCAGCTTGTCTATCGCTGTTCAGCAGAAGTCGCAGGATATGAGTGTGATGCTTGACAGACACAGCAAGCTCAGTGAGAGCAGATGTTGCGTGGGGCAGGTAAACGTCGAGATCATCGTCAATATCGCAGTTTATGTATCGTAATGTGCGGAGATGTTGGAAGTGCTCTGGAGATGTCCTGGTAATGAATTTGTGGATTGAAGACAAGCCTTGTCGTCTAACATTGACAAGGGACAAAGTTGTAATGGCAGGAGTGGAGATGTTGCGGAAAACGTTGAATCCGTGGTTCAGGGTATTGCCGTATACTAATAACTCCTTCAGCGCAGGCAGTTCAACAGGTGCGCTACCAGGCTCCTGGTGAAATCCGCTAATGAACCCTTTCAAATGTAGGATGGTAAGGGTGGCTGATAGGGGAGCAAGAATGTCGAGGAAAGCAAGTCTGGACAAAGGATTTCCGGGTCCAGGTTGCGGTTCAAGATGCAGGGTGGTTGCAGAACACTGGGGCAGTCCGACTGTAAGAGCGCTAAGGCGTATATCAGACAAGAGCGGTGCTCCTGCTTTGAAAATATCGAGGCGGGGAACAACACCAGAAGCGCCCCGGGTATCATTGCAACAGATCTTCAGTCTTCTTAGGGTCGAAGCAGGTGCGTCTGCAAACAAGGGAAACAATGCACAAAGTTCCTGGCGCTCGTCGGTGTCGAAAGTGAGCTCGCGAATCTGATTCAGTCGGGATACAAATTGCGCGGCAATAAAGCGCAGAGAATCTGGGTCAGAAATTCTCGGGCCTATGTGAATATGGAGGGGCGCTTGATTGCACCGCTGGAGATATGCCATAGCAGCAGCCTCTTTGTGCAAAATCGGAAACCTGATGGTTGTCCACAAAGCAGGGGTTGAAAGTGCCACTTCCCGCCATCTAGATGAAACGTGGGACAGCTGCACCTCGGGAGAGAGTGGGCGCTTTACTATATTACTCCAAGGTATGAGTGGTCGCCGGCTCTCCTCGAAGATGATGGCAAGTACGTCTGATGGAAGACGAGATACAGGAGCAGTCTTGTTCGTAATATGAGCAGCACGACTTTGAAGAGTGCGTATGGTGGTGTGGACTTGAAAGGCTTCAAACGTTAGGGCATGCTTCCTCTCTTGTAGGGCGTTAATTCGTTTATTAAGGTCGTCCAGCTCTCTCTGGGAATCATCGTCAAGAAAAGAGACTGAGCTCGTTGAACTCATGATTTCTGAGAAGCCCCATCATCCATCAGTTGCTTTACGGGATACCAGCAGGCCAGAAGGCTACTGACGGATGTTTTACGCAAAAACAATAAACAGCTTGCTGCTGACTTGCAGTGATTGCCGGGGTCAACTTTGTGTCGTGTGATTGTTGTCAGACAGATCAGAAAATAACAGACATTAGAGTATGCAGTACCTTGGCCGGTAGCACAACGTCGCGAGAGGCTATGTCCACGATGGCAGCTGATGGCAGATGAGAAGCGAGAATGGGTAATCAGTTTGGTTCATCGCATCCACAAATCTGTCATGTGCTCCGAGCCGGCTCGCTTTGCCGAAATGGACAAACACGTGAAATTAACTATGCCGTATAAGATGGTGACAGCTCTGACAGGGTCTTCTAGTACTCAAGACTTATCTGCTCCCATGGTCGCCAAAGAACTGAAACAATTCACTCTGGAGGAGGTTGCTGAGGTGCGTCGAAAGTTCAAGGCCCTGAGAGACCACTTGCTGAGACCGTTGCGGACATGTAGCATAACAAGCCAGATGACTTGGTATGTATTAAGTATCTTGAACTGTTACTGATCCGAACAGTCATCATTTTAGTGGGTGGTCATCGACGCAAAGGTTTATAATCTGTCCCGATTCAAAGACTTGCATCCTGGAGGGATCTCTGTCTTGACGGATGGGGAAATTGGTATGATGCCTTCCGTGATAGCCATGCATGACAGTTTCAAACGGAATTTGTTCTTCAGCTGGCCAGGATGCTACGGAGGCGTTCTACGGCTTGCATCGTCATGAAGTTTTGGAGCGACCTCAATACCAACGCCTTCAGATTGGTACTATTCAAGGCGAACAACCTGTCATATACAGCCGAATTGTCGGAGAACTCAGTGATGTCCCGTACGCAGAGCCTACCTGGCTGTCACAAGGGTACCACAGCCCTTACTACACCGACGTGAGTTGCCACAGTCGTTTTCTGAGACTCTTCTCTGAATTTTTACACAGAACCATAGGAAATTCCAACAGGCCATACGTCGCTTTGCTGACGAGTTCATTTATGAGGATGCACAAGTGAGATAACATGATTGTTTTCATCACCCGTGCCTGACTCAAATTTCGTGGTAGGCTCGCGAAGAGGACGGCAAGCGACCCAGCCAAAGCGTAATCGACCAGATGGCGTATGTTAATCTACTTTTCAGCGTTCATGTTCTTATTTCTGTATAGAGCGGTGAACTTGCACGCAATGCGTATGGGTCCAGGAAAGCACCTTCAAGGGTTATCCTTGATGAATGGTCTCGTGAAACCTGAGGAGGTAAGTGCAACCATACCTACCCTGAATTCTTCGTCTCGTCCTAACCTGGCTGTTTTCATAGTTTAACTATTTCCACGAACTCATTATTACTCAAGAAATTGCACGATGTGGTGCACGAGGATATGGAGATGGTAAGTGTTACTCGCGTAGGCGGCGGCGCCTACTCAATATGCATAGGTTTAATGGGAGGGAAGGTGATTGGACTGCCACCGGTCCTCAATTTTGGCTCGGAAGCACTGAAGGCTCGCGTTGTGCCTGAAGTCTTCGCCGGCAAGAAGTTCATTTGCCTCGCCATTTCTGAGGCCCAGGCTGGAAGCGATGTTATGGGTTTACAAACGACTGCAGTCAAAAGCGAGGATGGCAAGGAATGGATTGTAAATGGAACCAAGAAATGGATCACCAATGCTACGTGAGTAACCAAAGGTCGTCCTGAATTACTAATCAACGCATTTTGCATAGTTTTGCAGACTAGTGGGTATGATTATCAACTCTCAGCGGCAAATTTAAACGTCCTTTTTAGCTTCACTGTAGGTTGCAAGACTGAGGATGGTCTCACTGTCATTCTTATCGAGCGCGGACCTGGCGTAGAAACGCGGCAAATCAAAACAAGCTATTCAACAACGGCAGGCACAGCCTACATTACCTTCGACAACGTTCGAGTTCCTGTTGAGAACACCCTTGGTGAGGAAGGTAGAGGAATTTTTGTCATTTTGAGGTATGTAACAATGGTGTGTGACGTGAGATTTGAGCTTGAATACTCATTTCCGTCGTAGCAACTTCAACCACGAACGATGGGTCATGTGTTGTAGTTCCGCTCGCAGCCAGCGTAGTATTGTTGAGGAGTGTCTGAAGTATGTCGAATCCGTCATCTTGTATTCCCTTCTTACAGTGAATCTAGATGGGCGACTCAACGGAAGGCTTTTGGGAAGCCCTTGATATCACAAGCTGTAATTCGCTCCAAGCTTGCCGCAATGATAGCACGGACGGAGAGTGTACAGAGTTGGCTGGAAAACATCACTTACCAAATGTGTCATATGGTAAGAACAAGTTCGCCACTCTCATTCTCCTGCCGCATACTTACGAGATGTTTAGACATACAAACAACAATCCCAGAAGCTCGCTGGGTAGGTGGTGGATATGTGCTCTGTGTAACTGCCATTGATGATTTGTTTCTCCTTAGTCAAATCGCCTTTTTGAAGAGCTATAGCACGCGGTGCGCACAGGAGACCGCAAAAGATGCTGTTCAGATATTTGGTGGCCGTGGTATTACACGGACAGGTATGGGGAGGTTCATCGAACACGTAAGTCAAACTTTCCAGCAACTATCATTATCTTACTGGCGCCTCTGCAGTATCATCGCACTGTGACTTTCGATGCATTGTTGGGAGGTGGTAAGTTCCTTTCATGGGTTTATACATGAATTCACTTGCTTATGTTCCCTAGCGGAGGACGTCCTTTCTGATCTTGGTGTTCGACAAGCCATGAGGGCCATGCCAAAGAATGCCCGGCTTTGATAACGTTGTATTGCACTTCACTTAATATTTATAACAAAACTGGCATGGATACTGTATAACTCGTCGAATCACTGAGGACTGATCTACTATCACCGGAGGAGTGGTTGACTAGGATTCCAATGTGGTGTCCTTTTTCTTATCAACATTGATATGATGACCCGTACCAGCGTAGATTGCATAGGTGTGCAACTGAGACACCAGCGGACGCGGGGGATTCCAAGAATACAATTTTAATTCTAATACAGAACTGCATGTCATGCCTCGAAGCCTACAGCATAATACACGAGAGCAAAACGCAAAAGCAAACAACAGTACCACATACTATAACAATATAGCACTGAAACGATACAGAAAGTACGGCGAAGATGCTCATGTCATCGAACCAAAGTGTGGCTCGTACATTGAATAATCTTGGCTTACAGAAGTGTATGACATTTGATTCATCCACTGGAAACCTGCATTGGGTGTGGTTAGCAAAAACGAACTTCGATAGTGATAGTGTCAGGCGTACCAGGGACTAGGGTATTATGCCACAAAGGATCAGTCATGATCTGTGCCGACTCTAAAAGATCGGCGTCCAAAGTGATCGGTAACGGGTCATGGAACATTTCAGATGATGTCGTGTTGTTTTGCAGCTGGGCTCCCGAAAAGCTTTCCGCACCTGTGTACGTGTATGAAGGAGAAGGAGAACCAGAGTTGGCAGAGGATGGAGATGAATAGTCAGCAGATGTAGAGATATCTGCGACTAGACCGCCATGAGTCTTGGTAGGTGTGATCTTCGACTTGCGCGCTCGTTTGTGGCTACCGGGGCTAGTCAAGGTTGGTGTCAGGTCGACCCTGACCGCAGGACTAGCAAGTAGGCCGGCCAGGAAACGAGAGTATATGGAAGGTCCGTGCTTCTCATCAAGAGCCACGTCCGCCGCCCCGAGAAGATCAATTGTTTTTTGCACGAGGTCCCGAATTTCGACCCGTTTCTCATACGTAAAGTACTGCGCGTACTTGAGTTGCAAAAGCTGTGCGGAAAATGTTACGTACTGAAAAGTGAGCATAGCAAGGAACATACTTTAACGAGGAAGGCGCCAGCAAAAGTTACAAATACATATTGGGATTCGGGTGCGTGGCGTAGAAGATCTCCTGTCGGCCAGTGAGATGAGATGATAGGATCCATGAAATACACGACTTACTATCTTCTTTGGTAGTGTACAATCTGTGAACAAAAGCATGGATGACGTCGGATGCCCTCGTAAAACACTGGAAGGAATGAGACAACGAAAATGAGAAGAAATCATGAGCAAAGACTGACCCTCATCAAAAATGAATTTTCATCCAAGTGGTCTTCTTTGGCATGCTGCAAGCCAGAAGAAAGGACGACTAAACGGGCATAGCTGAAAACCATTTTCAAAAGACCAGTGCGGAAAATAAACATGGCGCTCTTCGGTTCGATGCTATCTAGTTGATGAAACCAATGTGCGCCGACGCTAGCCAGTTCGTCATCGGTTTCAGTAGCAATCTGAGTGAAATTGGTAGACTTCGAATCTGTCAGTTTTGGCGAAGGGATCGTGGGAACAAATGAACACGTACCTTGTTGAGTCCGGTAGGGTGGTTTGGATCGCTGCGAATCTTCTCCATGAATTTTGCGCCAATATTGAGCTCCATGGAGTATATACAAATGTGAATGTCGAAGTCCTCGACATTATACTTGGAGGAGCCCCACCAATCGTGCAAATGATTTGCAATATAGTCAGTATTAGGAATAATGGGCGCTTTGCCGTACTGAGACCCTGTTGACCGATCCAAGTTGAAGCAGTTGATCCAGACACGCGTGCGATTGAGGAGTACACGAGCGTGGTGCTCATTCAGGGGCGTTGTGGCTGTAGGCCTATTCAGGTTGAGGTCCTGGGCCAGTCTAGAACAACGTAAAAATATTCCGTGAGACATAGCGGAAAGAGATCCCTACCGAATTGCGACACCAAGGTACACCCAGCTGCGATCCTCTTCCCAGCGTCGTGAGGGAACAGGATAAAGCTGTAGTAGTAGGTAAGCAAGACACATTTCCTCATTCTTGGGTCCGGTGATAAGCGCAGTGCCCGCCGCGAGCTGTGCGTAGCGCATTACTTCCGCGTATAGACCTGGACGTTGAGTGTAGAACCGGGAAGCGACAGCACACACTGAGCACAAAAGTCAACACAAGAAGGGAATGCAACTCAAATCGGCTCACCGACTGTGAAGAGGAAAGGGCTTCTCATAACCACGTACTGTGGAGTATGAAGAACGGGGTCCATCAATGATGTTGACGGGTTCATTTTATCAAAGTATCTGAGCATTTTTAACAAGGAATCGTACACATGGAAATATTGAACCTCACAGTTTGAACAGATTCTCGACGTCTTGTAGAGTAACAATCTCACGAGTGAGAATGTGAGGAAGATGCTGGCTACTAATTGAAGGATTGGACTGGACAGGGTCGGGAGCAGGAGCTAGAAAATATAAGGACTTGAGGCATATACTGAAGAAAAGCATGTACTTACATGGTCTGAAAAAGTCAGCGTTCGCTACACCAACAGCGTCCTGAGGTTCTGGTTCTGCGCTCTTTCCTCTAGCACGGTTGGCCATGTGGGCCATCAAACCAAATGGACTATCTGCGTGGGGGAGCATGCCCAACTTCATATCAGCAAGCTCCTTTTTGGCTAACGCAGTCGGCGAGTGCCTTTCCCTTGACTGTGAGCGACGGCTGCGTCCGCCTTCCTCTGCAGTGGCATATCCATTACCTTCGTCATCTGTGTCGTCGTCTTCGAAATCAAAGCCGTGCACTTCCTCGTCACTATCAGACTTCCCAGAGTCCTCATCAAGGAGCATGGAATTCGTTGTACCGCCAAGGGCAATTAAGCCACCAAAGGTGTCAATTGAAGCACGGGCTTTTGCAAGCCAATCCTGCACTTCCGGTTTGGGTGGAGCGGAATCTGCCGGGGTGTTAGGATCGAGGGTAGGAGAATGAAGATCGATGGAGGACGATGGGGACATTGGTACCGTAGTGGTCGAAGAACTGCTAACTGAGGCTGGTGCAACTTGTCGGTTGGTAACATCGAGCTGAGCCATAAGCTCCTGAATTTGAGCAGCTTGTTCACGAATCTGGTTCAAAAGATGCTCTCGTTTCCTAATACAATGTCTTAACTTGCTCAGGTGAAAACCAAGTGAGCACGTACGGTGGGGTTCGGCGTGGTTTGCGTCCTGGAATGACACATTCCTGACCGGCACTTGTGCACCTTTTGCAGGTGTCATTATCGCCCCTGAATTCACATCGGACCTATGGTGGACGTGTCTTGTCATCTAAAATAATGTTGAATCATACCCACGTACCTTCAGGCTTTTGCATCGACCACAAGCACCTGTTCTGTGACGTGTTAGTTTGGATATCATAGCGGAATTAACTGGAAAGCGCACGGTTTCCGTTTGTCCGCAGGCTCTAGCAGTTCATGTGGGTCAGGTACCACAGTTCGAGTATGGTGGTCATCGTCGTCGCTTCTATGGCGTTTTGATTGCTGGGCCATAGTTGCGTGCATACTATCTATGATCTGCGACTGGATCTCAGATTGGCGAATAGGTAGTTGGTGAGTGTAAGGGAACTGCATAGGAAACCCAGGACCCGAAGAGGCGACGGATGTTGCGGAAAGTTGGTTGTGCGCGCCCGGAGCGCTTGAAGCGTTCATTCCTGATTGGAATGCGGTCTGATATCCGGAACGAGCAGAATTAGCATTATAATCTGGTGGAGCGAATGTGAATGTGGTCGAGACGGGATTCAATGATTGATTTGGGTTCGAAGTCATATTAGGTGATGTTGCAAAGGAAGGAGAAGGCTGTTGGTAGGCAGAAGCTGAATCATATTGATTTGACGCATTTGAATTGTATTGAGATAAAGAACCGTTGAGAGGGCGCTGAGCGCCAGAATGTCTCTGTGGCTGTAGAAATGTTTGGGGGGTATCTTGAGCTGCGAGGAGATACGGGTCCTCATCTTCAAGAAACAGATGCTGTTGGCCCGTAGCGAGTCGGTTCCGATGCCAAACAGAGGCGTTAAGGCTCATATCGTGAACAGAACTAGACATCGTAGACGACAACTGTCAAATAGTCACGGAATGACTGTGCTCAGGCCGACGAGCTCAACCGGACGTAATGCACGGATCGAAGAGATGAACCCTTGTAAAGAACACGGGGTACTTTTAAAGGATTATACTAATAAGTAAAAAGTACATGAGAATTGAAACCACCGTTATGGGAGAGTGAACTCACGGCTAAATGGCAAGTCGGCAGTAGGCGGACCGTTGTTGTATGGTCTACAACTAGTAGTGAGTTAGCCCTTGAATCAATGCCAGTGAAGACAAGCGACCATCGACGTTGGCAGACGTTTGTTTATATTCAAGATCATTCAATGAGCCTTACGGTCGACCCTTGCGAAGCAGTGCTCCGTGGCTGTGCTAGGTCACTTTGCCTGAAGTTCAAATTGAGTTGATTCACTGCTTTTCGGTTGCTAGTTGACCACACATTTGGCCTCTGCACTGCCACGGATAACCCATTGGGCGATCGAAGTCGTATAGCTTCAAGTTGCAGGTACTCTTCCCCGATCAGCCCCCGTCTTCCGGTGCAGCGTTCTCCGTACCCGCCGACTCCTTCAGCCCGTGAGGCTCGAGCATCGCGATTCAAGAAATTTGAAACACAAGTACCCCATGATTCAATGTATCCGTTGTATTTCGTTGGCCGTGCCATCAAACTTGAAGCGCTCAGGCCCCGTGGTGTCGCACTTGATATGGTTCTTTTTTGAAAAACAAACATGCATACTTTGAGTCATAGCATTTACTTGCTTTCCACAGTTCACTTTGGCGCGGTACCAAGCCTGAGTCAAAGCACAACGGTTACTCTCGAAGGTCCAAGTAAAGTCAGTTGCTTTGCATGACAGGAACACGCTTGCCCGTTTCGTGTGTGGCACTTGTAATAATTTTAGCTCATCATGATACAGTACTTTCGACAATAATCCACCAGGTATGTTCATAGTTGAAATTTTACACTTGTGGACTGCTACTACTATACCGCCCATTGTCAATTGCTTGCTCTCAACGACGCCACTCTCCACACCTGTCGGTTATAAAATAGCCCGTTAACGAGAAGGCATGATACCTCACATGCACACCCAATGATGCAATCTTCACTCTCCCAAAATAACGCTGGTGGCAGTGTTGAAGCTTCTCCACCAATTTTCGTACGCCTAACCTTCAAGTTGCATTCTTGCGCCGACTAACCGTCCCGAATAGAAAACTCTGCGACTTCTCTCCGGTCGTTATCTCCACATGCTTTGGTCAGGCTCTGCTACCACGCATGAGGACGAAATGAATAACGATATTACTGCTGCAGGTGACGAAAGGTACGTTGCTGTCACACACGGCGTCTTTTACTGACGATTGTCACCTAAAAAGAAAATACAATAACAATTGCTCCGTCGGAGGCGAAACACTGGAAATTATTTCAGTCCCTCAAGGTTCAGGTGAGCTGCTGCGTAGATCTAAATCTGAACACCTTCGCTGATCAGGCTTGTCGGATACGCCCGTAGGAGAAACTCTGTCTGACATCCGCTCCAAGCAGGATTCTAACGTTAATGCTTCTGAAGGCGAAACTCCGTCCGGCATCCGCTCCCGGCAGGATTCTGATATTGATGCCTCCGAAGGAGAGACAGCATTCCAGCGCTCGCAGTCTCCTGTGACCGCGGCACTCGCAGCGTTGGCCAAACACTGTCCACCGCAACTTGGACGGAAAACAAAGACAAAACGACAGTATAGCTCCCTGGAACAGGAAGATTCTCCAAAGATAGCCAGGAAACGGCGTCAGCTTACAGGTCTGGGCCGTCCGCGACAAGACGATGTATTGCTCGCGTGGCTCACTCATGCTTTGGCACCTTCCGATGTGCGTTCTGATAGACATGCCCAGGACCAAAAAATCGATGAAGATCCGTGCAACTCCAAAGTAGGAAACACCTCCCCGAAGTCTGTCTCTCATGTATCTGTCAAACGACGAGAAACTGCAAATAAGTTTCCTCTCACGTCCATACAAGAGGGACGACGGTCTTACTGGATTACTCGTCCTTTGCGTACGACTCGGATATCTGACACCTCGGCTCATGGTGATCTGCAACCTGCAACTTCCCCACCCGATAACAGCCAAACACCCCCAATCCCTGCAGTACGATTCCCCAGTGCGTACCCATCATACTTTGCGAATCCCCAACGTCAACCTAGCGTTATCCGTTGGAAGCTGCCTTGATTGTCCATCGCCCAGCATTAGCGACGTAAAAAAATGTAGATATTTTCATGACAAGCCATCGATGACATGCGCCACGACCAATATTTGTTTGACAGATTCCGTTAGCAACGATTCGTTATCAATAGATAGTATCAACCATGCGGATGCCCTCATCCGGCATTCATCACAGAGTGCGACCACAGTTTGCGGTATTCTTTGGTGACCGAGCTACTCGTGCCTTGCGGAACTAGAACTGTACCTTGTATACAAAATAAACTTCTAGTGTCATTCTGGCGTGTTTGGTGAAGAACATCAGCGCATGTTTCAGCATTCAATACGACTATCGATTTTCAACCCGGGTCGGTATACGTCTGAACAGTGAACAACAATCCGCTGGTCTGCAGCTTACGTAGCACTACCGAATATTTGGTACCGTCTGCAAATGCTCGGGCCGATTTCATCGTACTGCGCCTTTGTGTGGCAAGACGTATAGAACTCTGGCTGAAATGATAGTTAAGATTTGATGAAACTTGGTTTGAAACAATCCTTACCAATGATGCAAGCAAGGAGCCACCAAACCACACGGCATATCTTGAGAGGAAGTTAGTTATGGTGTGGAATATACGAAGAACATGATTCTCACCGCTGGCGCTTGTGCGAAATTACATCCACATCCACACCAGATGACTATTGTTTCGTTAGAAAATGGAGAAAGCAAAATTGTTGGACGCCGACCTTGGTAGTACTGCCACTTGAAACGACGCTAGCCTCAAGTCTGCGATCAACCAGCTGCTTTAGGTCTCTCTTGAGACGCTGACCAAAGTGCTGGAACATGGTGGAACCTCCAGAGAGAACTATATTCTACATAGTCATAATTAATATGCAGACCGAATGAGAAGCCGAGGAGATCGGTCACCTTGTATAAGCCGCGACGAACATCAATCGGAGAGGCTTGAATCACATCATCAACAATGTTCGGGAGAGGTGTAAGGAAATCGGAAGAGTAGATCTCCGGGTTGAAGAAGATCTCCGGGGCCAGAAAGCGTTCATAGCCCACATCAATGGAATATTTCTAGTGAAAACGACGTGCATTCAATAACTGGTGATGCACGTTCGAAAGTGGAAACCAACTCTGCCGGTGACACTATGCTCACCCTCATATCTCTCAAAGTATTTGTAGGGTTCCGCGTCGTATTTCCGAAACTCTTTGACTATGTCCTGGCACGTGTAGCTGTAGTTTTCCTTCACTCTGCTGGCAACCCGCAGCTGGTCTTCTGGTGGAACGGCAGCCATTTCACCACGCTCACGCAATAAGTTGAGCACGAATTGTGATATATCACGACCAGCGATGGGGATGTGTTTAATGGCACTTCCAATGACGTACCCTTCCGCGCAAGGGATGACGTGCGTGACACCATCTCCCGAATCAATGACGGTGCCAGTGAGTGTCCTGTCTGTGGCACGGTTGGATGTCCAGGATGCGGCAAGGGCGAGCACAGCCTGTACAGCGATGTAGAGACCCTTGATATTGAACGACTCGAAGAAGATTTCGGCTGTCTGCTCTCTGTTTTCTGGAGGGTTAAGAGGAGGTTCAGTCTACAAGAGGCGACAATCAAGATTTTGGAACATGTGATATGAAATGATGTCATACCAAAAGGAAGTAATGATCTTCTGGTTCAGCCCGTAGATACTTGAATATCGTTTGTTCCCAGTATCGTTCCATGTGATCCCAGTTGTCGATCATGCCATGGCGAATGGGATAGTGAACTCCATAACCAGGGGTCTTCGCATTGGCAAGGGCTTCGTCTCCAATAAAGAAGTCGAGGTCTTCAACACCGCGTTTCGATGCGACATTTCCAGGTTTTGAAGGAATTGGGGGACCACCACGAGTAGGTTGAGAAGCAGGCCCGCGTGTAGCAATTGCAGTGGGGAAAACGCTGGAGTCATACAACCGCGTCTGACAGGTGCGATCTTGTATGGGATGGTGAGACTCACTATGATGGATCAGAATTTCCTGCGAAGCTGCGATCGACCTTGAGTAAGTGCATCAGAGTTGATCGTTTCGTGCTTACCCTATCTTCGAGTATCCTGTTCCATTGTCGCAGATGATAGGTGCGAGGACTGACATCCTTAGGAATAAGTCTTTATCGAGTCCCTGTCAAGTCACTGAGGTTGCTGCGATTCCTATTTGTCTTTGTGTGGCAAAGCCTTTCGTTCCTAACGTGTCCAAATAACCCACTGAGCTGCAAAACTTTCAATGCTTGGATTATGATTTGACGATGCTACATCAAAATAATTCAAATACTAGGGTAGATGGGGTGACATGCTGCAGGCTCCTGGGTACAAACTGTGAAAATTGATGATGCCAGATGCATGTCGATGTGAACATGCAAAAGTGCTGTGCAGTACAACTCTGGATCATTTTGCCAAAGATAGTGGTAAATGGAATCAGGGAAACGTACTCATCACAGAGTGCTACAGAGCGCTCTGTAGCATTCTGTAGCACAATCCAACCCGCTGATGCGGCCGGCCAGTCGTCTGAGGTCTTGTCAAGCTTGACCGTTTGAGCACAAAAAAAAGCTCGGTAATTTGTTGTTGAGCAAGCTCGGTCAATCACTATTCGGTTCGCGGTATGTATGTACAAAACGTAAGTATGGAAATATCACTGCCGCCAGCTTGAACCGCCATTTCCTTCTGGCAACCTATTGGTGACCTGCCGACCTCGTATGCAGTGTTCATAGAACATTCCATTCCTGGACCCGGGCCTCGACTTGGCATCATCAAGCCTTCACATTGACTCCCGCGCTCTTATCGTTCTCAACTGACCTTTTGAGTTCTCAATTCTTAAGGACTCTTTGGGACGCCCGCGAGTGGTGTTCTTGGCATTGCGCGGATGAAGGCACCAATTATGCGCGTGACGTCCGGTAGTTCTGATATTCGACCCTGCAGTGCAGACAATTTCTCTAGTGTTGCTCTTGTGACTTGTCTAGGACTCGGAGTGATCCTTTGAATTGCGAAAGTGCCAGAATCATTTTTTGGAATAAATCTATACCGAAATGACAAGTTTGCATGGCAAAGGCAAACGAAACATCTTACCTGATAGCAGCACTGAGAGCACTGCATGATTTCAGCGTTAGTGCAGATACAACGGGAAATTCGTAGCCAGCCGCCAAAGTTTTTGAGCAATCGGCACTTACTGTACTAGTGCAATCTAAACTGGTCGGAGTGATAGGTGGCAATAACGCGTGATCCCTGCCACCGGTACTGATGCCGGTAGCCTTCATTTTCCACGGAAGCCGACCAGAAGCCGAAGGTTCGTCTTTACGGGGGCAGAATGTGCATGTCCATTTGTCCAACATTCATTTCGCTATAAGTCGCCACGGTGACTAGTTCATAACATTTGGCATCAGCAAGTGGTGGCCTAGTTGTAGATAGAGCTCGTTGGACCAGCTATTGTCGTAGATTTGATCAATGACGGTAGGTGACAGTCAACAACTATGGCCACTGTATGCTGTGGTCCAGGGATTGAAACACAGAATCTGGCCGTTGGGATTTTGTATGCCTTCTTTCATTAATAAATCAAGTGTCTCGAAAATTCGATACATACTTCCTGATCAGGCGCACGTATCCTCTGGAGCACCAAATTGTGAGTCCCCCGGAGCTCAGGCACGTCAAGAACAACGGGAAAGAGGATTTGGGTCCTTGGAAGGAACAATAGAATGGCAAATTGAAATTGAAGCTTGTGGAGAGTTTTAATTCTAATAATTTAAAGATAATTTCTTGAAAATATTCTTATTTCTTCAACTCAGCCTCCCTGGAAACGAACTTTATTTATTAATTGGTATGGCAGCTCAGCGCTCATCGCATCATTTCCAGGGAACAAGATCATCGTCTCATATGAGTGTTCTCAAATATCTTAGGTGATTTTCTTTCTACTTTTGCCTTCTGAATCTGCCCGCGATTCTTATAGGCTTACGCTGGCTCGGTGCGTTTGTTCTCTCTGATCCAGGTCTCTTCGAGTCAACTACTCACGTCCTTATTTTATAGTTGAGTAGGGGGTGTCGACGTCGAATCACACGTTCAACTTGGGCTCTTCCATATCTTGTAGCTGTAGCCTGCTCACATTCGTTCTTTATCACGATCTTTCTTCGAGCACTCGTTATCGACACCCTTCCAATCTACTCTGTTGTACTGGAAAAATCTCCGGAATTCCTTTCAGCTTCAATTGCTTTTTGATATTGCTTGCAATGGCTCCATATCTCCTTTCAAGATCCGACCCCAACGATGCGCCAGGCGTCCTTCCTATCAGCAGAACCATTTATATAGTCGGATTCACCCTCGCTGGCTTACTTGCTGCTACTTCTATATTGTGGCTTGCATTGAGGTTCTTCCGCCGCAAATTGCAGGCAAAGCGTGCAGAAGAACGGGGTGCAGCTTTCCTCAATGTACAAGGCGTTGTTCGAGAAATGAACGAGCCTGTCAGCCAGTTCCTGTAAGAATCAATATTTTACTTCGTAAATATAAGTCTCCTGACTTTGTCAAACAGTAGTCAGTCGACGACTGTCGTTTTCCCACAAAAGGCCGTTGTCCCTGCTCAAATAGCAAGACCTTCAAGACACGACCATGTTCCTTCTTCTGAAGTTCCTGCAGCATGTGCTGCTCCCTTGCCACGTCCCCGCGCACTCTCTAGTCTCAATCCCTCGCATTCGCGTCAAAGTCGTAGTTCGTCAGTTTCTTTGGGTAATTTCCGTTCATCCACTCGATTTCCTTCTGGCTTGCGTTCCTCACATTCCCGGGAATCTTCACGATCATCGGCTTCCCATCAAGCCCGATCCGTTCGGCAATTCTTCCAACCAGTGCTTCCTGATGAACTCCCTCTTTCGCGTGTAGGAGAGCAACTCCACATTCTGCAGTCGTTTGATGACGGCTGGTGCCTCGTTGCGCAAAACAACTCTATTCGCTCTCGTTCTTCATTATCCATATTCAATCCTTCACGACTCTCTGCCAGGGTGGAGAGTAGCGGGGACAATGTACAGCTTGGGTTTGTCCCAGCATGGGTCTTCGTCAAGCCCACGAAGGGACTGAGCGTAGAAAGACCTATTCGCAGCTCCAGTGCAGGGATGCTCCAGGCTGGCTCGGACGCTCCCGAATCGAGAGAGACTGTGATTTCTTGGTCCAACTTTGCTTGAACCAAAGTTGAAAGCCCCGATGGTGCATACATCGATGTCTATCGTTTTCCCTTATTCACCCATATTTGGTAGCCGCGCCGGCCGTTTGAAACCATGTCGCATGAAACCTGCGGTGCAAGTATGCTTCACTTATAGTTTATTCTTCACGATACAACTGCATTGTATACCCTCATTAGGTGTTGTATCCAATACATATACCAATATTTGCATTCAGCAGGAAAACACGTCTGTGAACCTCGGGAGGCCTGGGACTATCAGGAAAAAAGGTATATACAGATGACTCAACTCCATGAACGACGTAATTCATACGCGGGAGGGCCCATCGTGATCAAAATTGTAACGGCGGGAGGCGCCTGACGCACTTCGGTTGAGGTCTCTTCCATTCCTCCATCGGCGTCCCAATGGAGGAAAACGTATCTGCAATCGCTGAACCTTCTGGTGGATGCCCGACTTGATCAGCAAGATGATTTACTTCTGCTAGTGCATCGGTAGTGTTCTGCGGGTCCTGCGGAGGTTCACGCGAAGGCGATGGTGTGGGGGCATTAAGGGGCCAGGTAGGAAGATAACATATTTCCTGCAAGTAGATTATGCTTAATCCGCTGGGCTAGGCAGGAAATTATTTGGATCCCACCTCTGGGCCGCAGGCAGGTCGGCATTTAATCCATATACTCCAGTCTAACCAAGACATCAGCTTTTGGGTGTCTTGTCTCCAGTCATTCATTATTTGAGCGACATCAGGCTCCCCATCAAGTTCAATGGGGAAAAGAGTGTCGAACCCGCTCATGACACCAACAGCCCATATGTTCGTAGTGACACGACAGATTTCTCTCATTGTGTCCTCGATGGACTTGAGCAACAGGCGTTCTGAAGGCGTCATTAAGGGTACTTGATATGTCATCGCTGGTAGTATGTGTTGTGGCACATAGCCTGAACACTGGGGATGCCCACTGCAATGGATGTAGGCCCGGAGTATCTGCGCTAGGGACAACGGTGGCATCTAATAGATATGGCGCGAGCATAACGCGAAGCTGGGTCTGCACGAGCTTTGCTCGCTGAAGGAGTTCTTGCGGGTCTGATGGGGTGAAATTGAGAAGATGCCGCACGAGCTCGAGCCGATCCGCATATCGATCAACGATGACGTGGGTGAGGGCCTTCCAGTCTATTCCGCTGCCCGGGTCTGGTCGACTGATGACTTCGGTGAGCTTTCTCATCAACTGCGATATGTCTTCTGGTGATATTCCGAACACCCGGTGGTCCCGCCGTTCAAGCCCCGCGCGAACCGGGACGAGGGAAGGTGCTAATGCGATATCGTACAGTGAGACAAGACCGGCCAGGTCGAGCACAATGCGAGATTCTCCCGGGTAGCGATTGTGCCATGAGCCGGAGTGCATGGCTTCAACCATGCGACTCCCTGCGCTCAGAAACGAATGACGTTAGTCGTATTGGAACACAAGAACAAAACACTAACAGAGTTCAGGACTGGGTGGGAGAGGACGGCGATTTTTCGGAGGGTCCCTGTTGTTGTCCTTCCATAAGACCCGGACATGCAGGAAAGATACTACTTCGACACCGGCCGTAAAATCACACAACATAACTTCACTAGAAGTTCATCAGTCGAAAGTGCGACACAGAGTAAGAGCACACGCACAAGTCCATTTCCATCCTAGAAATCTGAGAATCAGTTATAATACCATAGCGAGATGACTCACTAACCTTGCGAAACCGTCGATTCCGAACTTCTTTCCCCACCTACAGAGATCTGTAATCCGTGAATTTTCATCCAAGACGCGCTCAGGTTGCACTTCTCCCCAGGCTATTATATCCTGTATATCCATTGTACCCTCGGATACCTTAGCAGCACTACTTCCATCAAAGTACAAAACTTTCAGAGGTCGCGTTGCTGCCAGCGTAAGGTGCCAGCCAGTATTATCTCCACGAGCAAAAGCAAGAGAATGTTCTGGGTCTGTAGCGGTCCACTCGGGCTCACTGGGTATCGCATTGCGGGTGGTGCCGTGATACAGTAAAGTACCTATTGGAATTGTTCCTGGTATTATGTTATGTCCTATAAAAAGATGAAACACTTGTCCCGCATTAGCAAAGCAGCGGACAGGGATACGTACCATTACGATATCGAGTGTTTGGCCAGTGTTGTAAGAGTGAGTGGACCGTGTCGAAGATCAAATTCCCTGTCGCGTTCTCGGCAGGGCCTTCGTCAAGACTCCATTGCTCGATTTTCGAACCGAAACCAAATGAATGTAGTTTATCATTGTTCGGGTTGGCGATATTCAAGGGTCGACCGCCAGCTTCTCCAGTAGTGCTGACGGGAAATTGTTGGGTATGGAGAGCTAGAACTGCTGACCCGAGGTTCATAGCTGCCGCAAGGGACTGATAACGCATTGCGAGAACTGTCAGAGAAATATTGATGTTATCGTGTCTTTATCGGAGCCAAGTAATGCGCGGTCACTAGTGTTCTTGGCAGAACTCAGGAGTTATGCCAACTGGAACTGGTTGGTGGTCCACAACAGAATTCGTGCGGAGGGAGGGTGGCAGAATCTCACCCAAGGACCAAGACTTGCGGAGATGTAATTTTGATCTGATAACAGTCTGCATGCACCAATTACCATGTTCGCCCGGTTGATTCCGAGCGTTCGGTAATTCGAATATCGCAAGTTGTTCGCCAGGGCGATCGACTTCGTGAAAAGATAGAAATGGCAGAAACAGCGCTGCAGCCTCAGATATCAATCATGTATGGAGGACCTGCCAACGCGCCGGCCCACCTCCCGAGTTTGAACGTGGTGTAATTGATGTTCGATGCTGGATCATGTCAATTTGTCCGATACGTTACTCATGCATATATGCAGAGAGATACGTGGCATATGTTACAGGATGTGTACGTACCGTTGCAACATTGAACAACGAAAAGTGAGCAGTAGCATGTAGAAATTGTCGCCGAGCTGCCAGTCATTCGTGCTTAGATATAGTACTTGCTGGTTACCACTCGATTTTCTGGAAGTGCAATAGACGGTGTCCGGGCCCTCGGCGAAGCCTACATATCAATGATGTTAATGTATTATGTTCTGTCAGCAGGAAAATACAAACCATCTATTAAGTCGCTCCACGGCGTAGCTAGTGACTAGGTACAGCACGGAGTTTGAAAAATTCGTGTTGTTTGCCAGACCGCTTACTAGATGGTCCCACGAGTCGTGTGTCCCAAGAGTCCGCGCATTGACTCTAGCGCACGCAATTCTGCACGGAATCCTTATCCATGATAGATCTGGATTTGCACAAACATAATACACACTGCCATTTTTTTTTGAAGAAAATCGAAGTAGATCTTGTCCCATGGGCAACTTATCAGTGTGAGAGGCATAGAAGGCTCGCTCTAAAGGTCATATCTTCACATATAATTCTGGAATATTGTAAGATGGTTATACATGATTAGAGAATACTAAACAAATTTATCTGGGGCACATGCTTGTCAGGATTATCTGCGATGAAAGAAATAAGCCCCAGACGTGATAATCTGCCCAAAGCATTACATAGAGACTGTGTAATCAAAACTCCACAATGCCGAAATGCTTTACACCATGCACACACTCAAATGGTGCGGACTCTGCGGAGCGTGAAAAGGCATTGCGGCAGACATGTGACATAGTGTGACGAAGTGTGCGAACTCTAGGGAAAATGCGCAGTAACTCTCCGCTGGACTCAACACGTCAATTTTCGAAAAAGACCTTGTACTTTCGATGTCATGCTATCACTGTCAAAGAATTAATTTTGTTTGTTTGTGCGATGTGGAGTAAATAAGTAAGATTAAGTAAGCTGACATTTTCCTGATGACTTTTACGTCGCCGAGGTTAGTACCATCTTCGTATCTAGCACCTGTGTAACTAACATAATCTGTAGCTATCTGCTACAGGTATACCAATATAACTAGTTGACTTCGTACGTCGCTGAGCTGTCTGCTACACTACCTAGACTGGTGCGGTCTTCGCGTTTCAAGTGACGATAACGTATTAAACTGCTTCAGAAACTTCACAGCCAATACGATGAGTGTGCTACTTGGCGAGTTTCCGAATCAATATCTGTGCCTCATTTGATCAAACCTATGCGTATGTAAGTTATATATAGTTGTTCAACGGGTGCGTTCTGTATTTATTACTAGTATGCAGTTTGACCAAAGATCGAAGATTGTATGTGCCTCGGAATAGAGTATGATTTTGCTCAGGCTGAAACTACTACATCAGGTGCAACTGTATCTTCTATCAAGTCGCTCCCCAGCCGGTACATCCAGTGTCTTTGAAATCATGAGGACAAAACGCCCCATCATGATTACAGCAAGCCAAGTTTAAACTCGAATCATACGATTTAGTTTTACACGGCCACTTTGATGGGTTCACAGCTCATTCATCATAAGAGCTAAGAAGGCGCATTATGTGTGTGAAACATATCTTTGACCTCTAGATGGAGTATTCGACTGACGATATTGCAGCAGCGAGGAGCTTGCAGTTCGCTACGGTGTGTCTCCTTGTTGACATAAGGACGAATCATGACTGACAAGCCATGTACCATCAGTACATATTCAGTGCGTACTGCCTGAACCCCATAGTCTTTATCCTAACACAGTTCAGCGTCCATGGCTACAATATGGGTAGGCTTATTCGGATCTATCCACGTCCACTGTCAAACTCGCTTATCCAGACCTATGATTATGCATGTTCATTTCATGAAGAGGTAACACGCTTGTTCCATGATACACCTCGATTTTTATATGTTATGCAAAGTGGACATTTTTGCTTCGATCGCACTGGGGCAAGATGAAAATCATGTATATCGTTACGCGATACCTCCCCTTTATCATTCTCGCCATTGATCTATATAGTGCGTTCCGCTCCAGCGCACATCACCCCGATGATGAATTAACACTTGTTTTTCAGTGAGCTTTGCCCCAAATGAGAATCCAGCTGTATGTGTTGCAGTGCAGGATTAATGAGAACGAACGACTTATTGCATGCCTTCACCAGAAATGCCGGGTGTTGCAAAATATTAATCCAGGTACGTGCATAATACGTATACATCCTTGTCGAAGGCTAACTACTTTCCTCTCACAGGTCTCGACCTAGTCTTGGTTATTTTCTCCGAATGTATCTCTCGTTCCCTCGTACTATGTATGCTTCTGATCTGATTCGTCCAGGCTTTTTTATTCTCAGAACATATGCGCTTTGGAACAGAAATAGATTCTTGCTCGTAGCCATGTTGTTGACCTTGTTTGTGAGTCCCTAATCTACTCACCATACCCCAGCTAGTGGTAGATGTATCAGCCAGGCTGTTCTCGGAGCTTCCACTGGCATTACTTTCTCCACTACCATCTCTGCAGCACGTTTGTGTTCTCTCCTTCCCTCTGGTGTTCCACGACCACTAAAATATTGTGTTTACTTCACAGATGCGACTAGCCCAATCCCGGGAATTACAGGGTGCTACCGGAGTTCGACCAATTACTGGCTCTTTATACCATTTCTTCTCCTTTCTGTATTCGAACTGGGTGTGTAACCAAGAGCATATATATGTACAAACACACCCTGACAGGCGTTCTTCCCAGGACTCATGATCCTCACGCTCATACCTGCCATACAGAGCTGGCGGACAAATTCAAATGGTCTGTACTGCTGTCCTGGTGAATCATAACATATCCTATTATGCATGCGGTCTTCGTGAGTCAACACTTGTACACGCCTTTTTCCGCACTCATCCATGATCATTCTCTTTCCTAAAGTATTCTCGGCAGCGAACATCTTCACATCGCTGCTCCTCGAGGTGCGTGAATCTATTAAATATATTTTTGACCGAGCTGTTGATGTTCTGCGCACCAGTACTCTTACCACAGCGTGTTCTATGAGTAAGCACCTCCACATTTTGCTGTGTATTCCTACTAACAATACCCGAAACGTACATCCACATATAGTTTTGAGTTCATGATCCTTGCAATCCTCGCCACGCGCATGCACCTTTATCTCTGGAAGACGAACCGACATCCCACACGACTCTACTAGTGCCCTTGTGCATGTTCCAATGTCCGACATGTCATTTGCACATCACTCGGTGTGATATCTAATTCTGTGATTTATTCGGTGCCGTTCATGGAGCGAAGCTTGGACCGTACAAGATAATTGGTGGGGGTGGGTATGGTAGCGTTTGTTACGTGCTTTAATTTATAGGACGAGTTTGTCGCGGGGTGGTAAGAGCATTTGAATGTCCTTGGTCTATTTAACGCCTATATCTTGCATTGTAAGCGGCGGCAGAAGGATCCAGAATTTGAGTGTGCTAGAGCCAAAATCACCGATGATCTAATTATGCTCCTGCTACACATGATCACTGTGAAACGCACACATGCATTAAATAGATTCTGTCCGCGACGGAAGCTATGTTCGCTCCAAATACTACTGCGAAGTCACCGTCAGGTACAACGATGTAGCTGTTGCATTTTTAGTAGTTTTTATTGTCGTATTGTCATTGATGTATTGATATCCATAAAAAGTACAGGTGGTCGCCATATAGTACTGGAACGAAAGAACGAAAAAAAGCAACGAGAACTGGTAACACGATGAGAGCCTGCATCAGTGCTGGACAGCGTGCTGGAAGGTGCAGATGGTAGCCATATACAACTGATAATATCGTAAAACAAAATAGAAGAGCAACTTGGAGGGGAAAACTCGGAGGGCAAGCAAATAGATTGCAAATGAGCAGCACAGTATGACGAGGTGGAAAGATGTACGTCTATTAGATGACTCATGCTTGCAAGAACGATGTGAAGGCCCGTGAATCAGAAACCGTACGGCGGGAGGCGCCTAATGCACTTCGGTTGAGGCTTCCTCCATTCCTCTGGTGTCCCAATGAAGGAAAATTCATCTGCAATTACTGAACCCTCGGGTGGATACCCGACTCGATCAGCAAGATCCTGTACTTCTGCTGGTGCACCCGTGCTATTCTGCGGGTCCCGTGGAGGTTGACGTGGATGCCTTCGCCCGGGGGCATTGTTAGGCCAAGTAGGAAGATAACACATTTCCTGCAAAAAGTTCATGCCTGGTGCGTTAGGAAAGAGGTTATTCAGATCCCACCTCTGGGCCGCAGGCAGGTCGGCATTTAATCCATATACTCCAGTCTAACCAAGACATCAGCTTCTCGATGTCTTGTCTCCGATCATCCATTATTTGGAGGACATCAGGATCTCCACTCAGTTCAACAGGGAAAAGAGTGTCGAGCCCGTTCATGACACCTACGGCCCACATTTTCGTAGTGACGCGGCAGATCTCTCTCGTTGTCTCCTCGACAGCTTTCAGCAGCAAGTGTTCCGAAGGCGTCATGAAGGGTATTTGGCTTATCATCACGGAGGTATGTGTCGTGGCACATAGCCTGAAAATTGGGGACGCCCACTGCAGAGTGTCGACACCTGAAGCACCTGCGCTAGGGACGACAGTGGAATCTAATAGATACGGCATAACCATAACACGGAGCTGGATTTGCGCGAGTTTCGCTCGTTCAAGGACTTCTTGCGGGTCTGATGAGGTGAAATTCAGGAGATATTGCATCAACTCAAGTCGATTCGCATATCGATCGACGATGACGTGGATGAGGGTCTTCCAGTCAAGGCCGCTGTTTGTCGGGTGTGGCCGACTAATGACTTCGGTGAGCTTTCTCATCACCTTCGATATGTCGTTTGATGATATTCCGAACACCCGGTGGTCCCACCGTTCAAGCCCCGCGCGAACCGGGACGAGGGAAGGTGCCAGTGCGATATCATACAGCGAGACAAGACCAGTCAGGTCGAGCACAATGCGAGAATCTCCTGGGTAGCGATTGTGCCATGAGCCAGAGTGCATGACTTCGAATCTGCGAACCTCTGCACCAAGAAACATAAAACGTCAGTCGTGTTGGTATATGAGAAGATGATACTGACGGTTGTTGGGATCCAATGGAGGAGGGGAGGGAGGGGAATGGTCTTTGTCCTTCGGTGAAAGCCGGACATACAAGAAAGATACCAGCTCAACACCAGCCGTAAAATCGCACAGCATAACTTCACTAGAAGTCTATCAGTTGAAAGTGCGACACAGAATAAGAGCATGCGCACAAGTCCATTTCCATCCTGAAAGTCTGAGTCAGTTATATACCATAACGAGATTAACTTCGCTAACCTCGCGAAACCATCGATTCCGAACTCCTTTCCCCACTTACAGAGATCTTCAATCCGCGATCTTTCATCGAAGAATCGCTCGGGTTGCACTTCTTCCCAGGCTATTATATCCTGCGTATCCATTGTACCCTCGGCTACCTTAGCAGCACTACTTCCATCAAAGTACAAGATTTTGAGAGGTCGCGTTGTTGCCAGCGTGAGGTGCCAGCCACTATCTGTTCCACGGGCAGCGAAAAGAAGAGAATGCTCTGGGTCTGTAGCAGTCCATTCGGGCCCACTGGGTATCGTTTTGCGGCTGGTGCCGTGATACAACAAAGTACCGGTTGGAACCACTCCTGGTACTATGTTATGTCCTATAAAAAGATGAAACATTTGTCCAGCATCAGCAAAGCAGCGAAAAGTGATACGTACCATTACGGTACCGAGTGTTTGGCCAGTGTTGCAGGAATGAATGGACAGTGTCGAAGATCAAGTTCCCTGTCGCGTTCTCGGCAGGACCTTCGTCAAACCTCCATTGCGCAGTCTTTGAATCGAAACTATATGAATGTGATTTGTCATCGTCCAAGTTGGCAATGTCCAAGGGTCGAGCGCTTTCATCAGTAGTACTAACAGGGAATTGACCAAGTAGTGCTAGAGCTGCTGACCCTAGGCTCAGAACTACCACGAGAGAATGAGAGCGCATTGCGATAACCTCTGGGTGTTATCGCATCTTTATCAATGCACTGAACGTGTGACAAACCAATACTTGCTATAGCAGGCTATAGCTACTGCGGCGGCACATATATCTCAGTAGCGTCTATGAATGACTCATCAGGAGTGAAGATCCGGATTCCGGATGCTCGCCAGACTCTCCGGAATTATAATATCAAGGGTAGACTCTCAGATGATCTCTCCGGTCTGAGACATCTGCAGGCACACAGAGTTGAACGTTCTGAACATGCACCATTCCAACGGGATGTTATGGTGGTGATGGCGGGCAGTGGCGGGTGCGTTGGTGCCAACTTGGTGGATTGATTGGCATTGATATCAAGCGGAGTTTAAACTCTGCTGCCGTCGTCTCCCCGCACTTTGGCCCAGTTGTCCCAGGCTGGTAATATCGAACGGAAGCACGGCAACTTCCGCGCCGTGTATGTATGGCTCTGCCAGCACCTTCACCTATTCATCTGCTACGCTCACATTCCAGCGCAGTGAGCACTCTCTCCATTTCGACGGACAACGAGAGAATCTACTCCGGAGATACTGTCGGACAAGTCATTGTCACTTCCACGCGCTCATTGCGACCACTCGCATCATGGAAAGCTCACACCGACTCCCTACTGGGCATCGAAGAATGGGGTTCTCAAATCGTAACGTGAGTAGCTATCTGTTTTGTCCCGGCATTTTTTTTCTAATGTTGTGAACTAGACACGGGAGGGATAATAGACTTCACGTCTGGGCACGACCCGAAGAGTCCGCTTCCATTAGACAAGGACCTGCGACTTTGTCAGATCTATCAACACCAACAACATGTTATTCTATGGATGTCAACGCTCTTAACTACTGCAGGTTCTCTCTCCTTGACCTAGCAGGGGCGAGCGCCCAGGAAGGTCTACTCGCCGTTCCGAACCTCGTGGAATCAGCTCTTGTAGGTAATCCTTCTGTTGTGGTACGGCGTGATCTCAGTATGAACTGACCAGGCAGATATCTGGTCACTTCCATTGTGTAAAAGGCTCCACGCTGCTATAGGTGATCCACTAGACACTTCCGTAACAGCCTTTTCGGATGGCAGGTCAGGCAGCAAATCCGGGATCATCATGTCAATGCATCTTTTTTACTCTGCGTTGTCTGCACCTTCGTCCTCTATGTCAGCAAGAGAGTTGCGCCTGTTATGCGCATACGAAGATGGAAGCGTTGTCCTGCGAAAGCGGACTGCACATGAGACCAAACAGACTGTCGAGGGCCGTGGATGGGAAGTCGTGTGGAAATCCAAACTTCACGTAGAATCAGGTTCGTCGAAATATGCATCATTCTCATGGGGATTCTGACGTAAGTTGTCGTTTCAAGTGATGGCTATGGCAGTTTCTTCAGACTGCACTCTTGCTTTGACAGTGTCGGCGGACCATTTAGTGGGACGATATGATCTTTTGGTTCGTGTCCGGGTAGCCCTGCATGAGTTTGCTCTCTGAGATTCTGAACAGAAGACCCAGGAGGCGGCAGAATCCACTCCCGCAGGAACTGCATTCAAGACAAAGCATCCAGGAAATGGCGCTGTTGCCATACGGAGCGACGGGAGAGTATGCGCGATTGGGGGATGGGACGGCAAGTCAGTTGACCGGAAGAACGTGTCATTTGAATCGAGCTGACTTGTCAAGCAGAGTGCGGTTATATTCAACAAAGACATTAAAGTTGCTGGGAACCCTTGTACACCACAAGCAAGGATGTCAGACGGTTACGTTCGCCTCTCACATTGACCGTGTACCTCTTTGTGGAGACTTGAAGGAGGATGACTCCTCTAGTGACGAGGATGAAATTACCGTCGAGGAAAAGCATGCACGTGGTCGGTGGTTGATTGCTGGTAGTACAGACGCGAAGGTGTCGATCTGGGCGTTGATGGACTTCGAGAAGACAAGCACATAAGTTGAACCGATGCCCATGGTAAAATGAGGATGTGGCATATCCCTTGCTTGTTAATTAATTGTATGTTTGTGTGTCCCAACTAGTCGTCTGAAATAAGGCGTGGCTCAGCCAATTCAAATAAGCCAAAGCAACCTCCAGCCTGTCCGAGAACACCCGAGAGATGGTCAGCAGGCCAAATCTGTTGGAACATCAGAATCCCTCAGATCTTGCACTTGTCGAGAAAGATGTTTCGCAGCATCGTTGGAAGGGTGCCAACCAGGACGCCTCCTGATAACATACATGATCGTCGTCAGTGGTCACCCGGAGTCTTCGCCCGATGACTGACAAACTAACGCCACCTCTTGATCACTCGCCTGGAGGTCAACAGTTCAGTGACACTATAAGTCCTAGAGCAATGATGGAAGTCTGCGAGGCGCTGTGAATCGTGGACATCGCGCGATCGTTGCAGCACACGAAAAAGTCGAGGGCGCCGTCGGGTCCTCAGCGATGATGTCGAAAAAAGGATTCTCATACAACAACGCCGCCTAGGCACTGGCATACATGTTAAGTGGCCTAGCGCATGCGACGTTCAAATCATGTGGACCAGATTCATCGATGGGAGAGAAGTAAAGTTGATGGCAAGCCTGAGTGCGAGTTGGGTGGGGTTTGCGAAGCATGCCGGCAACCGCCAAACTCGCGAATTTCCCTGGTCGAGCTTGGCACCTACGCTCACAAAAGTTTCACTTTGTCGCCTATCATTGTCAGACTATGGAGGCAGTCGTTCCTTTTCGCTCACTAGGTAAGCTGTTGGGTGTAGACTATGCATCCGGGTGTCGTAAGTGCGGATGTCTCAGGTGAGTGATTATGATTCAGACTAGGGGGCACACCATTCAATTCTAATCATGACGTCGCTCATATGTCTCAGTTTAATGCCGTGCATATTGGTCACAGTATATAATCTCGCATTCTGGTTTTCGCATCATTCTATAACTTGACTTACAACTCCATCTTGCATATCCATTCAACTCATCTTCATCTATGGCTTTCGAAATGCAGCAACTCCTTACTTCTGGCAGGCTCCAGAATTCCGACTTTACTACCTTACATTCTGCCTATGAGTCCAGCACCTCCGGCGCCGAAGTCATGTCTTCCTTCTCTATCGTCACTCAGGACATTTCACCCAACACCTCCCAATCTTCTGCATACTCCAATGATTCCTCTACCCGGAAACTTAAGCGCAGGCATGCCAAGCGCGGGCGCTTCTCCAAACGCAAGGCGGCTATGAGTCTACTTGAAGATGCTAGCGCATGCGACCCCTTGCCTCTGGATGCTATTGCTAGCCTTTCCTCAAACTGGCTCAACCTGTCCCTCCCAGACCGCACTCCTACCTACACGGACTACTTCGTGAATTACTGGCGACATGCATTAGCAAAGGAGCAGGACATTTTGATGGATCATTTTACTGCTGTCATGGCAGTCGTCCATGAGGATTTACCGGCTACCTCAACCACCCGCTCGACTCAGCCTACTTTCGTGCAATGCAACGAGGAGTCCTCGAACATCCAATACGAAAATGCTCTATTTGCAGTCACCTGTCCCTGGGACGATGGAGAGAAATCTTACCTAGACGACTGGATTGAGTGGGACGAATGGCGTCGGGAAGATGAAGTCTATATCCCAACAGGCGATCGTCATGACTATGGAGCGATTGGCCAGCCACCAATATATCCACTGCGCAACATGGGCACCCATTTCCAGATCGTCGCACCGAAGCCGATTCGTGCGTGGAACAGCATAACCTGGCTGGGTCATCCACCCGTCACACCTGAACCAGTACAAACTCCTTTTATGGAGAGTTCCACCATCTATTCCACGGCGTACCACACGCACGCCGAGTCGACCGTCATCTATGACTCTGGCAGCGCATCTCCCTCATCCTACCTCTCTGTTCTTGCTGCCTCTATACCTTCTACTGGCAGGCGTATTCCTCCTCCATGTGTCAATGATCCCCATCCTACCACTCATGGAACACAGGCAATTTCTCTCGAAAGACAGCATTCGAGAGATCACAAGTTGTTCCAATTTGTACGCGTACGTCTCTTCTCTTATCTCGTATCAATGATCAAAGTACTGATTGCTGCTGTGCAGATGTCTTATGATCAAAAAGTTCTTGAGCTTGAAAGATTAGTTGGATGGATGAGATCTCATTCGCTACGGATGTGACTCCAGCTTACATGCATGATATTTGTTTGTATATTAATTATGGATTGTAATGATCAAGGACATTCACTCTGCATTCAATTTTCGTTGTGGCGTCGTTTCTTTTCCCAATACGCATCGTTGCTGAGTTCAAGAGTTGCTCTTGGGTGGTATACTACCGCGTTATCCTTTTCAGCGATCTCAAGCTCAGTCGTATGGCCCTCGAATATCTTCCGATCCTGAGTTCAGACGTGCCTTTGTATACAAGGATTCCAGTCCGCCAGGTGAACATACATTACTGGTGACTGAATGCCATACTCGTTGTTTCGGATGCGCATGTCACGAGACAAACCCCTATACCACCATAGCGTCTTGGGCAAGATGTCTTAGTTACCTTCCAACATTTGCTACCCACCCACAGTTGACAGAAAAGCCTTCGTCATACTGAGAGATTTGATGCTGGTCTTTGCAAGCTGAATATAACCTAGGCTGCTCCTGACTTCATAGGAGAATGCAGTCTGTACAAAAGTACGCCTCTTAAAATTTCACTAACTTAACAACTAGAGCAAAAGACGGTTTATTTCAAAAAATTAAGATACATAAACTCGTTTATCGTCACTGTAAGGTTACCCCAACGAGAGTGCGTATGGTATACTCGTAGTATATCTCGGTTTGACTAGGTAGTCTTAATATAATCTTGTGCTCTGGTGAGTGAGGAAGAGTGTCCTCGACAAATGTGCAGCAGATAAACGGAATGCGTGATGGGGTGCTGAATCGCAGTCCCAGTACTATTAACGAATAAATACATCGAGGTGTCGTTGCCTCGAGCCCAGGCGGAGATTATGCCCATTGAAAAATCATTTCGGCCAACAGTTTTTGCGGCGCAAAGTCGTCTTGATTCCACCATTCCGAATTTCCGATCACATCAATGGTCATCAGCGCCCGGCCACCCCCATTGGACGATCCGAGTTGGTCCATTGTGCCACGTCTGCACTCTGCGAAGTGCTAGATTGGACATTGTGGACCCACGAGTGCCAACAAAGCCCGCTCCATTCGATTGAATGATAGCATCGATGAACACCGGATACCTGGCAACAGGGACAGTTTCTAGCATGAGAATGAAAAAAAATAATTCAATTGGCTCACCACTTTCCATAGATTTCCTCCGTCCGATCTGTCGCATAATCTACCCACGTCCAGCCCAACGCCCGGACCTCTGACCACCATTCCGGGTCAGACTCATCACTCGTCATGATAACGTGTGTGACCTCGATCCCTTTTCGCGTGCGAAGTTCCTCTTGCACCTCGGATACCCTGCGCGCAATGATAGACAGGGAGGCAAAGCACTGATCCACAGGAAGGCCATGACACTGATCGCGGAAGTCACCGTGCCGTATGTGAACGGATATATACTATGGAAAGTTGGTAAATCTGCGGATCAGCCTATACCCGAAAATTCCACTCACGGGAGGTACTGGCTTCAGTCGGCCTGGCACATTCATGGCGCGCCGGGCATGCGCATCGGCAAGCTTTTCCATTGTTGCATTCCATCGCATGTGTTGGCCTACAAATCTCCATGCAGGAGAATAATCCATCTCCCATTCCCATGGACGTTGGGCGGCTATGAAGTAAAGAAAATCGAAGCATAGTAGCTGGTCGTCTGGGAGAAGTGAAACGTGATGCTGAGGAGAAGGACGATTCGGTAATCCTAGATTTTCCGAGCGAGCCTGCGGAAACGCAAGCGTTGCAAGGGACCAAAACGACGCGTGGTCGTCTATTATGTCAGGAGGTGTGAGTTTGACCCAATCTGGGGTTCGCGTCCACGAAATATCTGTGATGGCCACGTAGTTGATTTACTGGTTAGAAATATTCGAAATTGTCTTACCGAGTTTGAGGCGATCTATGATGGGACTTGCACGAGGACGGGGATCCTCCGTGTATCTTTCAACGCTTTCCCAGACGCTCCAACCACCAAGGTCATCGAGAACCTGACTTTCCGAGTCCTTTACTTCGTGCCATTCAAGTACGGGAATGCCTATAGCTTGGCTAAGCCGAGGGACGTCAAAAATTTCCCCAAAAGCAAATGGAGGTTCACTTGAGTCGATATGAGAAGAGAGGAATTTCGCAATTATGGGAATACGCTCTGTTAGGAGTGCGAGGTAGATTAAATTGCCCTAGTATTTGTGAGGAACTGGGACAATGTTGGAAGTGGATCGTTGACTTACATAGGTCATCACGTCATTCGCTGACAAGTCACTGTGATCAGTGGTGCAAGTGGCAGTTGGCTAGAATTGACGTACTCCATCCCGCTGAAGTAAACGATGTAATGTATTTTGTGTCGTTACGAAGGTTGTCTGAGATGATTATTGTGAGATAGATATGACGTTTTGGCCGATTAACTGACCTCGAAAGCGCTGGGTAGGTGGACCTTGAAGATACGACGGCGAGTTGGAGGCGGCAGAATATGAGGGCACATCTTGCGTGTCGAGATGGCTTGAGGGCTTGAGTAGGAGAAATCCAAAGCCGAGCAAGGATATACCTGCTAGAGCAGTGCATATCGTTCTGCGAGATAGTTTTCTTCCTCTAGTAGTTGGTGGTGGTTTGGCACCCAACGTAGGAATAAACGGAGTCTCTGGGTCGTCGTATGGATCGTGTGTGTCCATGAGATGGGAGGCTCAATGTATGCGGATGATGGTGAGTATTTACGCTATGTAAAACTCAGGGCAACGCCTCATCAGCCTCCCATGAAAGATCCGGGTCGCCCACGGTGACGCCACCTATTTGGTGTCAGGGAGTCGGCACCCGCCCGATGGCATCAGAAGGCACCATGTACGGATTAGGAACCATTTAGGCTCAAATCATTTTAAGAAGCGGAAAAACATCGGCGCAAGCACCTCAATTTCAAGGAACTGTACAGGACCCATGTGATGTCCGGACAAAAATCAAGTTGGGGCTTTATTGCAGCTGCGTTTGTTCGACTTGTTCCGGTGTTCCTAGAATGTCTGGTATCAGGGATTATCTGTCTCTCTCACATACAAGGATGTATATTTCCAACGGTCAGAGTACAAAATAAGCACTTACAAATCCCGAGTCTTGGAATGTTGGAAATAGGACACGGCACTCCATAAAAAGTGTACCACTTTGAGGTTGGAAGCGCTGCCATAAACTTCCGGTATTGTGAGGAAAGATGGACCACATCCACGGAGGATAATAGCAATGGAGAGAATCGTCGACTCAAGCATGGCAGAACTAGAATCCGATGAATTCATCTACAACAATGGCTCCAGAAAAGAGTAACTTCCTAAAGTGAACCGCGAAGGAGGTATCAGGTGAAACCGACCAGCTGTCCATCGCGTAGATGACGGAGAATTGGTTCATAAAATCTCTTGGCGTTTAACCCGGCTTGTTTGACCATTTGTCGCGCATCTTCCTCAGCAATGCTTTGACCATTCTCGTCCACCTGTGCTCCAGTTTTAACCGTATCTGACAGTACTTCTGCCTGTCACCCACGCCTTCCTGTCCATCGCAGATTTAGCTCAATACTGGGTTCCGGTTAAAGAACTATAGGAGAGCTGGAATAGACAAAGGTTCCTCCACAGATCAATCTGGTACGTTGTTGACGATGAACAAGAATATCTCCTTCAGAAGTTCCAGTGGCAGTCTGATGGAATGTGATTTTCAAATAGCACGTGACTAGTGATTTGTTTGGCAAAACCTTTGGATCCAAACAACATATAGATTTTTACCTCCCATATCTGTCAAGTACCAGCGACGACAGCCACAGGCCTAGGGCGCCATCATCATTATGGCTACCACATGCCCCTTCTCCGGGTATCGCCAAGTAGATTCATTTGGTCCAGATGAAGAGTATTCATCAGACACCGAAGAATTCTATGTCACGCTTGATCTCGGTACTGTCGAGCCAACCCTACTTCCCAGCAGCTCAACCTACAGGCTTGTAGTAAGCATAAGACCTCATATATCATAGCCATCACTACAAGGCAAAAAAGGGCTTGGATACGCCTACGCCATTCCTGCAGCTTTCTGGTTCCTTCTTCAGGGGTAGGCATGATACGCTCCTTGGTTCGGAGCTTTTGTTCACTGAAGGAAAAAGTGCGTAAATGTTTTGTCTGTCAAGTTAAATTCACGTTTTATGTCGATCAAAGATGATTCCGAAAGAAATACGCGAGCTTTGACGCACGTCGGCGTCACTGAACGACGTATCCGATTCAAGGAGGTGCAGCTACGACAGAAGACTCGTGAACAATTGGAAGAGGTTCCTGCTGTCGGTGGGAACTCATTCTCATAATGGGGTACAAGCGGAAGCCGCTGGTCATTCACTCGGACGTATGATTGGGAGTGTTACAGAGCCCCGATCTCGAAAACGCAAGAAACGACGTGACAAGGGGAAGGGGAAGGAGACGTCCCCTCAGGAGGAGGGGAGAGACGATGCGATGGATACCACTTAGTTTTGCCATCAGGTGATTCGTCCTTATCATCTTATCGTTCTGCATATGTCGCGTTCCCCAGTTCCCTATGAACTACAGCTTGAAAATTTGGTAGAAATATCCATACTTTACATAATTACAATGTACTTCGGATAATTAATTAGGCAAAGCAACCGGTGATGGTATCGTAAGGAGAGCAGGAAGATGAGACACATCATGCTCTGACCTCTCGCATCTCCGAATAAAAAGGTCAGATCCAAAAGTATACTATACAACACCAGTGACGGTGTCATCACAATAGATGTGCAGCTCGCAAATCTGCCTCCGCATGCTCCTGTTGTGGCGTGGCTGCGAAGGGCGAACCGAGAGACGTGTGCTCACTCTCTTCAAGCGGTGCGATATCGAACGCCTGCTCGATATTTCTCCTCAGCTGCGATGTCACGAGCAATATCCTCAGGTGATTGGGGTTCATGTGCACTTGAAGGCACGGATGGCAGATTCCCAGTTCTTCACACGCCAGAAACCGACCAAAGAGGAAAGGAGCAAAAACCAACCTGCGAGACGGAGTAAGTAAACAGAAAAAAAATGAACAGGTAACACGTACCGAGAGTCATCAAAAGAAATGATAGCCACTCTCGTGAAGACATGTTGAGAACAATGGTATTGGTATTGGTATTGTCCTGAGGCATAGGAGCCAAGGATGAAGATGAAGGCGGGGCGGATAGCATGAGAACATCAGGAATGCCATTGCCATCAGCCGTGGGATGCATCGCATCTGCTGCAGAACGAGAGTAAAAGCCATATTGGATCAATGTTAACCCAAGGCCTGCTCTCGAGCCATACTTTGCGGCGTGTGTAGTGTGGAGGAGGTATGTGAGGAGGAAGCCGATGAACTGGAAGAAAAATGAGACGAAGAGGTTCGAAATGAATGCGAGGATGGAGCCCGAGGGAAGATCGCCGACAATCATCCCAGCATCGCTATCCATTCCGGAAGGAGCGTGTATGATAGTATCCCAATACGGGGGTACAGCATCTGCTTGGGCTGCCGCATAAGACTTGAAAGATAATAAGGTGAGGTGAGTTAAAAAATGAGTAAGCATAGGCATACGGGTGGAGCATTGTTCTGCGTGTCCTCAGGGACCATGTAGATGCTGCCATCATCAGCTTGTATTGGCACTGAGGCTGAGGAGGCGGGTTTGACGACAACATTTGAGAACACTCCATCATTCTGTATCCCTCCACCTCTCACCCCAGCAGGTGAGTTCGTCGGTCGGTACGCGGACATAATGAGTAGGTAAGATAGCCCCAACTGCCCTGCGCAAGAATGATGGTCGTGGTAATGTCGTTCCCAAAGGAGAGGTTGGTAATTCGCCGTTCGAATTGCCAATATCGTTGGGTAAAGCAATCGCTAGAAGCTGTGGGGGAGAACCAGGGGGCGGACGGTCGTAATCGTAATTCCGCTCAAAGTCATAAATTCCAGGAACTGTCGTACTACCTGGCGTACTTTTGAGGGGATCTGGGATGTAGGGAAGGGTCGCAGCACGCGCACGATTAGATGGAGAGAGTTCAATGTAATCCTCATCATCATCGCCGTCGGACTCAAAGGCGTCGTTGAGTTCACGATCAACGTCTCGTGATGACTGCTGCGTTGGCAGCGGTGCGTAATGTGCAGACATGGCAGATCGCATACGAAGGATATGGCAGGCCTGCAGAGGTGCTACTATGTAAGCGGCTGCGGCGTCCACACCAAGTTCTCACGAGACTGTATGTTCTTCAATTTCAATATAGCCGGCATTACCGCCCTGGCATAGCCTCCTTGTTGTTGTTGCGACCAAATCAACAGGGAACGTAATATCTCAAATATTGTACCATCATGACACAAGTGTGGTGATCTCTGTCCAGTGTCCATGCTGTATGACCTCTGTATCGTAGCTCACATTCAACACCTTTCAGCCTGCTTCAGCGCCAGACTCCCGCTCGCAGTTGACACCCCCTCCATCAATCCTCCTTGTCAACTACCGCTAGTGGTGCGGCCTTGTACATACTACCCTACAATGTCTACGTCATTGGTAATCGTAATTTTACGTTGCATCTTGATCTCATCCAGCAAACTAAAGACACGAGAATTTTGGTTGGTTCATGATGAAAATTTCATCAAATGTGAAGGACAAAACATTGTCAAGGAGATGCTACACTACACGCCCAACTTCTGTGTGGGAGAGAGGGTAGCTGACACAAGGGACATGCGAATGAAGAAACCAAATGTGATGTATGGGGATTCGGGAAGCGCTGTCCCAAGGAATGCGCTCGACCGTAAGTGTCGACATGTCAAGGTTACCACGTCTGTCGGTGCTGATGTCCGTGGGCTGTAGGGAGCGAAAGCGTGCGGATAGGTGGAGGCAGAATTCGGAGCAGCTAGCTCGGTGATAGACGGTGAAGGGATTGATGTGAACGTGGCAGAACAGCACAGAATAGGCAAGCGTGAGGACGGCGAACTTCGACTTGAGAATATCGATTAGGAGTGAATATGTTTACCGAGCGGTGGTTGAGGTCTTTGCCACTGATGCTAATTGATGCGTTCAGGAATTCACTGCACACCTTGTTGGTAGCCGATAACCCCACAGAAGTCGGGACTCATGAAAATGTCACTGGTCGAGGACGAGTCTAAAATGGCCGGTCTGAGTGAAGGTCTGTATCTGCTACCAGGTCTGGGTGCACACTCAGCACGCGTGGTGGAGTTTGAAGTCGTCAGTGGCTAAGATTCGGGCATGATGTGATTAGATAAATTATGCCGAGGCGACCTTAAATGAACGAACACAATTAGATTATTACACAGTAAGGAATGGACGCACAACAATCAGCTAACTAAACCCGTGTATGATAACAAAATGTTCGCGTCATGCACGGAAAATATTCAACGATATGACGCAACTTGCCTAAAACACGGGACGACACCAGAGGTGATCACTGGTAGATCTAGATACCACCACCAGCAAAAACGAATGAGCCTGCAAAGGTAATACTGATGTTGGCTCTCCATGGCTGCTGGTACATCCTTCAATATGTACCAAGAGCCGTGGAGAGCCAAGATCGTGTAAGTAGTCAAGACTGTCGTCCCTGAACCGTTACGCCAAAAGGCAGTGATAAACAAAGCACAAAATAAAATGAAATAAACTGAGTTGCGAAGAACCCACGCTTTGTTTATCGCGGGATGCTGATTATGGGAACTCAGGTAAGCAACGAGCTTACAGATCGAGGCAAATGATGACAAACTATTTTGATAAAGGGCTAGATAGTTCGTCATGACAATCAAATGGTTCAATAACAGCTGGCCACATAATGCCACATCAGCCTGCATGCGGCATGCCGTACAAATAGAGTTGTGTTCATGCAAGCTTCTGAGCTCGGGCCCACGTTCATTCAGTCACTAGGTTCATACCAGGTTACTCCCCAGTAAAATAAACAAGTGGGAGCTCGATTCGTGATCTGCTATCGTCACACCAACCAACTACTATGTCTTCTTTCACTTATCAGTTTGACACACCGAGCTACAAGGGCACCTCAACGGTCTCCACTGGCCTATTTATCAATGGAAAGTTTATTGAACCTGTAGAGAAGGGCACGATTGAGTATGTTCTTATCTTTACCGCACTCGGCGTCTACCTTATCATTTGATCTAGAGTCGTGAATCCGGGTGGGTCAATTAGCCTCTCATACCTGATCAACTTTGACAGTGGATGCAGTCAATGGAAAGATCATAACCTCGGTCGCAGCTGGCACTGCTGCAGATATCGACAATGCCGCTCGGGCTGCAAGGAAGGCTTACAAAGAGCGCTGGGGCTTGAAAGTCCCTGGTGTACAAAGGGGTAGAATGCTCAGCAAACTTGCAGACCTCCTCGAAGCGAATGCTGACGAATTCGCTGCCTTGGAGGCTTTGGACGTAGGTAAGGTGATACTTCAGCCATATATACTTGCTTGTGACGTGACCGCATGTGCAGGTAAAGCCTTTAGGGCGGCCCGGAATGGTGATGTGTCTGCTTCTATCGCTGCCCTGAGGTACTATGCGGGATGGGCGGACAAGATTCAAGGGAAAACTATCGAGGTTAGAAAGGCTTGACATGTCTCCGTCAGGACAATTCTAATATATACCTACCTAATAGACGAACGAAAAGAAGCTGGCTTACACGCGTCACGAGCCCGTTGGAGTGGTGGTTCGTGCTCTCATTTTGTCGTGCGGTGAAGGTATGCGAACTCAGCATCTTGCAGGGCGCCATAGTTCCTTGGAACTTCCCTCGTATGTTCATTTAATCCGTATTCAGCGGGCGAATAACGACGGTGAATAGTCACGATGTTGTCGTTCAAGCTCGGCCCAGCTCTAGCAGCAGGAAACGCTGTCATCGTGAAACCCTCTGAACTGACACCATTGACTGCGCTTCGTCTCTGTCCGTTGTTTGTTGAAGCGGGATTCCCTGATGGTGTCATCAATGTTGTCAGCGGCTACGGTAGTACTGCTGGTCAAGCCCTCAGTGAACACATGGACGTCGACAAAATAACTTTCACAGGGAGCACACTGACTGGGCGCAAGATCATGGAAACGGCTTCCAAGACTAATTTAAAAAAGATTACTCTCGAGCTTGGCGGTAAGAGTCCCAGTGTCATATTCGACGATGTAGACCTGGAGCAGACCGTAAAGTGGGTCTCACACGGAATATTGTATGTCACCTGCATCGTAGCCGAGCCTCTTGCTCACTCCTCACAGCATGAATCATGGACAAGCGTGCACTGCGGGTTCCCGCATATTCGTTCAAGCAGGGATATACGATAGATTTTTGAAGGCGTTCACTGAACATGCCTCGTCTTTGAAAGTCGGCGATCCGTTTGCGCGAGACACTTACCAAGGTCCACAAGTTTCGCAGACGCAATTTGACGTGAGTGCCTACCTAATAATGTAGTGAGCGGTTTTACTTACTTTTTATTAGCGGATCATGGGATACATCAAGTCTGGTAAAGAGGAAGGTGCAACCGTTCATATCGGTGGAGAACGTCATGGGAACGAGGGCTACTTCATTCAACCAACCATTTTCACGGAGTGCAAGTCGAATATGAAGATCGTGCAGGAAGAGATATTCGGTCCCGTGGCTGCGATCATCAAGTTCGCCACGGAAGAGGGTGGGCACATCCCACTACGGATGTATCCGAGTGTTAACAGAGTATCATAGAGGCCATCGAGCAAGCGAATAATACTGTGTATGGCCTTGCTTGCTCTGTCTTCACCAGAGACATAGACAGAGCGATTCGAGTCGCGCATAGTATCGAAGCTGGTACCGCATGGGTGAGCACGAGCATGCTAGCATTAGGACTGCTGATGATTCGATGGTCATAGATAAATTGTCACAACTCCTCTGAGTTGAGCCTTCCGTTCGGTGGTTACAAACAGTCAGGCATTGGGCGCGAGCTTGGCGAATATGCCTTGGAACAGTGAGCCAACATGATGGTACGGCGACTTCTACTGACCTTTTGTTCCAGCTATACAAACCTGAAGGCTGTTCATGTTAACATTGGACACCGTCTTTGAAAGGCAGACATTGAAATATCATCCAAGTGATGTCTGATAAGAAAACGAAGTACCAGAAAGCGAACTTAAAATGACCCAATTTGTATCTATGCTACCATTTCTAATGTACAACATTATTTCTCTTAAATCTGTGGAATATGGCAGTATTAACCACAGTGCCATTCTACACTTCTGTCTTTATTTAACAGCTCCAAACAGTCAAGGCGCTTGAGCAGCTTGCAGCCTTGACAGGAGCGTTCGTTCCACTTTGGGGAATGTGACAGTGTTCCAGTCGGGTCGGACCTAAACGACTCGGTTGTGAATTATCATACCTTGTCTTCGATTTGTCCCGTGCTGTGGTATTTATCGTTGCTGGCAATGCTTAGAGTAGGCTTCACAAATTTGCACGTTCCGTTTCGGAGTTGGCCCCGTGGCACTGTGAAGTATCTCTCTCGATCCGCACCGGGGAGGCCATCATTTTTCACTCGGATTCTAGTATGTCGTATTATCTCTAGGCCGTCATCCATAGCTCATTCCATGGTCATGACGATCAGACCTCTAGTACACTCGAATCGCGCTGGACACATGGCTCGCTGACTAGAAGTCGTTCCATCTCCTCCGCGGCGACTAGAGAAGTGGTTTCTTCAGAGCAGCTGGGCGTCACAGAACCTAAGGTTCACAGTGATATCCCTATTGCTAATGCTGATGAGCGCAAAGTGTCCATTCTGTGGGGCCCACAGCGTTGGTCTAGATTGTATGGACCTTCTGCCTCGTAGTAATTCCCGAGATCTGAACAAGCAAACTGTCAGTCACCACATCTGGTTGCGCGACCACTGCAGATGCCCAGACTGTTTTCACCCGATAACAAAGCAGCGACTTCTCAACACATTTGAGGTAGTCTTGCAGCAGGGCGGTAATGGTGTCTTTACTGAGAAGAGACGTTTCCGCAGATTCCAGCTGATATCAAACCTCTGCATGTACAAGGCTCCACAGATGGCCTCGAGGTTATCTGTATGTTGGCTTAACTGAGGTTTCAACACGACTTGATCCGTTACTTAGGGCCTGGAACTAGCACCGAATCTCACTCGTCGGTATATCCATGGACATGGCTACAAGCCAACACATACGATCCAGCTCTTCAAACAACGCCAACTCGGTGCGATATTTTCTTTTATAATCGGTACCTTGTACTTATCGCGCACTAGGAAAGTCCTTTGGGGATCAAAGATTGAGAAGTCTCCACCCTCCGTGACTTATACCGAGGTTATGGACGACAAGGGACTGCACAAGTGGCTAACGAATGTTGTGTGTAAATCGATAGCTTGAGGTGCTTGTCTCATATGCATGCAGGAAACTTTTGGCTTCTGCTTTGTCTCAGGGGTCCCCGCAACACCTGAGGCCACAGAGGAACTATGTGAACGCATCGGTTTTATCAGAGAAACCCAGTGTGCGTCCTCCCTCCTTATCCATTCACTCCTGATCTGAATGCGCTTAGATGGGAAGTTTTGGGAATTTACTGCTGATCTTTCAAAGGGAGACACTGCGTACACCACAATGGCACTAGGAGCACACACCGATAACACCTATTTCGTATGGAATATACTCATAGTTCTCGTCGCGCCACTGATTGATTGCCAGCACAGACAGACCCCTGCGGCCTTCAACTTTTCCATCTCCTATCACATACCGAAGGCTCTGGAGGAGCAACACTTCTCGTAGATGGTTACTATGTCGCCGCCCTCATGAAAGAGCTACATCCAAAGTTCCACGATCTTCTTTCCCGTGTGTCCATCCCAGCTCATGCAGCAGGAGAACCGTCAGCACTGTACACTCCGAGTCCACCTGCAATGTACCCCCCGTTGCGATATCACCCGCGCACCAAAGAACTTGTGCAGATACGGTGGAATAACGATGATAGAAGCGTGATGAGCCACTTGCTACCAGACGAAGTGGAGGAATGGTAAGTGAGCTGCATGGTTAGAGAACTTTACTTTACTTAATCTAAAACCCCAGGTATCAAGCGATCAAGATTTGGAACGAACTCTTGACGAAACCTGATTCAGAGTATTGGGTCCAACTCAGTCCCGGCACTGTATTAAGTGAGTTTTGTCTGTGGCTGCCTGACATATCGCTTAATCTCGTTTTTTTAGCAATTGACAACCACCGCGTGCTTCATGGCCGATCCGCTTTTGACGGTAAGCGCCGCGTGTGTGGTGCCTACATTGGCATAGACGAATACCGTTCGAAGCTCGCTGTCCTTAAGGAGAAGTTTGATGGCACCGACAACAACGGCGAGAACATGGTATGGAGACCTGAGGATAGCAGAAGTATTTGGAACTCCAATCTATGATTCGAGGGCCACTTGTTGAGACTCTGGTCCTTCACGAAGGTTTCGATATTGATTATGACTAGTAATGACAGTACGAGTGAGGTATGTATGCAAATCAATTAATTTCAGAACGTGGCATCGGAATAGATTCAAATGCTTTCTAATCATCTTAAAGTGCCAAAAGCATCTCGATTGTGGTCGCCTCTATTTGTCGCTTTGGCTGCCCACAGTGCCTTCGGGTGAAAATTCGAGAATGTCCTCTTCACGTGGCAAAGGAAAGAACACATCGTAGTTCGACATATCTCATGTGTAAAGAAGTAAGCGTTCTGAGGGAGTTATCACCGCTCTGTGCGTGGCAATCAAGGACGACGCGCACCGAAAGACTGGGCCTTCCCAAGCGTTCGTTGCGTTAATATGTCCGCCAGGATGACGATCGTGCCACGAACCAGCATGTTTTATGTCGAAAGCGCGTAGAACTGAACGACAACTGTCAGTGGGAAGGATGTATGTACATTTTCCATCCATGTACAGCTCTGAAGATCGTCTGGGATAGCCGGAGGCAATCTGTGACTATTGGCGAACACCAAGGTGTTAAAAACGAGATTCCCAGTTGTATTTGCTGGTGACCGGTCAAGTTACCAGGAGCTCTCGAACTCGAGAAGACCTTGTGCATCGAAGAGCAGCTGTGTCACCAGCACACGCGAGCAGGGAAAATAAGTGGCTGCAACAATGCGAAGGGCATTGTAATAGTGCACTAACTGGATGATGGAACGAACAGAACTGGCATGTATCGAACGGTTCGCATCCAAGGCTCTCCATGGCGTTACAGGACCATTGAACAACCGGGGAGCAGCTCGCCGGCTATGCTGTCTTTCAATGTTACATAGCATGTCTCCGACAGCAGACAAGCACAAGACGTACACACAAACAGATAATACATTCACCTAAATACTCTACCAACATTACCGTATAGACTTGAGAATGAACCCCTCGAGCCCACCACACACCCACAACTCCTGCACGCTTGCGCCCACCGTGCGGACTTTGTAGGTCTTTTCTCCATCAGGACCACGCAGAGTCACATTCCCGTCCGTCATCGAAACACGTATTTCATGCCCTTGATCCACTGTGAGTTCGCCTTCACGTCCACCCGCACCGCGTGCGCCTCCTTTGGCATACGTCGCAGTGAGGTCAGCGACGAGCTCAGGACATTCAAGGCAGACAAGACCGTTATTGATGGCATTACGCTTGAATATGTCACCGAATGAGCCTGCAATGACAAGCGGCACACCAGCTGCCTTAAGCGCGGTAGCAGCCTGTTCGCGAGAGGACCCGGTACCGAAATTGTACCCCGATACCAAGACCACACCAGACTTGGTGCTTTCATCTGATGCGGAGAGTGAAGGGAGAATGGTAGCGACATTGCCTGCGAAAGACGGGTCGTAGTTCTCCATGACTACTTGTGCTTGGCGTTCGAGGGTAATATCGTCTTGGTAGGTGTATTTTCCAGGGTATAGTGCGTCCGTGCTCAGGTTGTCCTGTGGTGCGAAGAGCAGGCGACCAGAAAAGGCTGCGGGGAAGCCGGGGAAGAGGGGTTCTTCTGCTTGTGGTACCTCTGCCGCGTCTGAAGAACCAGAAGCGATGGAGAAGACGGGTGCGCCTGCAGGAGGAAGCGAGGTTGCGTCAAGAGAGTTGGGGGAGCAGATAAATCCCTTGACAGCACTCGCAGCAACTACTGCAGGACTGGCAAGGTATGCCTGAGCCTTAGGATGGCCCATTCGTCCCTTGTAGTTCCTGTTCGTGGCGCTGATGCCCGTCTCACCTTCTTCCAACAACCCCGTGCCGAGCCCGATACAAGGCCCACAACCTGCTGGGAGGACTTTGGCACCTGCAGCAATCAACTTGTTCCAGTGCCCCAACTTCTCCGCCTCCGCCTGCACCACAGAGCTCGCAGCTGCGACATAGAACTCGACGCCTTCTGCAACTTTCTTGCCCTCAACAACAGACGCAGCTGCAGCAATATCAGAGACACGAGAATTGGTACATGAAACCAGGTATGCTTTCTGGATTGCAATTTGCTGGGATTCTAACTTGGGAAGTGGGGTAGAGACTTTGACGCTGTTAGGACCGGAAACATGTGGGACGAGAGTAGAGAGGTCGAAGATCAGATGCGAGGAGTATTGGGCACCGAGATCGGACGTAAGGTTAGTTGCACGAAGAGCATCAAGACTGCGGCGATTGATACGTGGGTGTTCTGGCGGGGGCGGTACTGATTTAGAGGCGAAAGTCCTTTGCTCTAATTTCGTCAATGCACTCTCGTACCAACTCAAAAGTGTGTCGTCGACAGGGAAAACGCCTACAAGTGCGCCCCACTCCGTTGTCATATTTGAAATCGTAAGTCTGTCGTCAATCGAAAGCGCAGAGACACCCTCCCCAGTAAACTCGATTGCAGCGTTGAGGACCTCGTCGTTGTTGAATGACCCGCAAAGCGCGACAATCACATCCTTGCCGGTGACACCTGGGGCTAGCTTTCCCCGAAATTCCACCTTGACCATACGAGGGACTTGCCACCAAGTCTTTCCTGTAGCCCACAAGGCTGCTGCATCTGTGCGCACGATGGCTGTACCCACGCAAGCAACGCCTCCATACATATTTGAGTGCGAATCAGAGGCAACAGTGAGGGTATGCGGGAATGCGTAGCCTTCTTCTACGAGGACTTGGTGCCCTATGCCGCGGCCAGCAGGATAGAAGTCAATCCCGTGTGCGCGTGCAAATGCTTCAATGTTGGCATACTTGGCAAGGTTTTTGTCAGATTTATTCTGGACGTCGTGATCAAGGGTGAACACCGCCTGCCGGGGATCAAAAATTTTCTTTGCACCTATGGACTTGAATCTACATGCGCGCCATATGAATAATGATTTGAGAGGGGAGAAAAGAAACACACTTGGATATGACAGGGCCCGTGTTGTCATGGGTCATGACATGCTCCGGGCGAATCATGACATAGTCGCCTGCTTTGACAATTTTGCCATCGGGGAGACTAACCGAGTACTTTTGGACAACTTTTTCAATGATAGTCTGGGGAATTCGGGGAGTGGCTACGCTGGTAGCGAAGAACCGCGCTGCTTGCAGGCACCCCCGACCGGGTATGCGCGGTGAAAGGCGCATCACAGGTATTTGGCGTAAGAAACCTGCAGCAAGTAGTCGAGACTCAAGATGTAAGCGTAAGAGAAACAGCTGAGACCACTTTGTTAGAGTTGTGTCAGGGAACCGAACCGACTGATAAGCCTAATAATATGATTCCATTCACATGGTCACAACAACTCGGAGGATACATTATCCATACACTGCGTAATTTACAAAAAGATATATCAACAGGCAAGGACTACGCGCTGGCGACTCCAACAGTAACAGCTGTAGGCATCGCAATAGGTGCGGCCGGTAATTTCAGCACTTTCTCCGTAATCGCGTCCTTTGGAGGAGTGGATGACTCAGGTGACTTAGAAACGTGGTTAGTCTTCATCTTTTTCTTTTTCTTCATGAGACCTGTAAATTGAAACGTCAGCACAAATACTACGTAGTGGATGCGGTATACTAACCTGCAGACACTGCAGATTTGACATTGTCGACTATTTCCCTACTTTCCTCGAGGTATTCTGTATCATCGAACCGATGCTTCTTGCCAGCAACGGCCTCCGTATCCCCTGATGCAGCTGCAATCTTCTTCTCGAGTGTCTCTAGCTTGGCTTTTTTGGCCTCAGCCTGGGCCTTCTTCCGTTCATCTTCATTTCCCATGTAGTCTGCAAGCCTAGAGCTATGAGCTTAATACATCACATCCCGCACCAACTAAATATACATACCTTTTCGCAGTTTTGATGGTACTAAGTCTGCGTCCACTAAGATCTCTGCATGAGTCATTGTTACTGGTCTTCTGACTACTCATGCGACCACCGGCAGCACGCAACTGCGAACCAAAACCTCCCTTACCACCTCGGAGCCGGGGAATAAGTTTCAACGTAATGAGAGTCGCATCTTGTCCATGAATCTCAGAGATGAGGGTGTCCGGTGTGGGGACAGATCCAGCATGAGATGAAATTCTTAAGTCCTCTGAAGCAGGGAGATCGGAATAGCGCGTGCACAAAAGAGGATACAGTTCATCGAATCGGGTTTCTGGAGAAACAGAGAGCGAAAGAGTCGGGAATGGAGCAAACGTTGAGAAAAGAACTGTAGTGGTCATGGTAGACAGTAATGTAATTATGTAATCCTGCGGGTCAGGTCCAAACCTGTATGATTATGTAACCCTGTGGGTTAGCCCGTCCGAGTCGGCGTATCACCCCTGTCAACATAAATTCTCTCTTTCGCCGCAACACCCACAAGCACGACAACTTGAATTAATTGCGCAGCCTGATACTCCCCAATCGACATGGATTTTTGGCGCGTGCTTATGCATGAAGCGCCTATGTTTGTCTGGCCCGTCAAATTCTGTGTGGCCATGACTGCTACCACATACGTGCTCTCCATCCTCACCAACAACGTGTCGCAGGTGGATAGAGTCTGGACGTTTCTCCCAACCATATATACTATATACTATGCTTTGCTGCCGGTTTGGCCATCCATTCCACCTACCTACCTCTTTCCCTCCACCCCTGACACAATCCCCGCATCTCTGAGGGAGACCTTCAGTCCACGAGCCTTGGTCATGGCAAGTTTGGTGGTGAGTATCTCATCTGCTCAATTTCTTACAACCTGCTTAACTATCTTCAGGTGACGTGGATGTTCAGGTTGGTAACATGTCCTCGTCATATTCACTTGTGAATCTCACCCTCCGTAGGTTAAGTTACAACACTTGGCGACGTGGTCTATTTAGCCTGTAAGCTCATTCATCATTGATGATACAATTATAAATTAAGAAATGTTGATAGCAAGGATGAAGATTATCGCTGGGAAGTTCTGCGACAGAAGATCTCCCCTTTCCTCTTCCAAGTTTTCAACCTCTTGTTTATCGGTACGGCTACAACTATCTATCGGTCTCTAAACATCTACTAACTCAGCATAAGCAATCGCGCAGAATATAATCTTATTTCTCTTGGGCCTTCCAACCGCCCGTGCAGTGGCTCAACCACACACACCCCTTTCGACTTCGGATTATATTTTAGGAACGCTGGGGTTTCTCATCATCCTCGCCGAGTTCATCTCAGATAACCAGCAATACTCTTTCCAAACCTTTAAACATTCCGGGAAGCTGAGCCCAAATGAATGGCCTGGCGCGAGAATTCAATGGACCAAGCATGATGCTGAACGCGGATTTGTGACCCGCGGTTTATGGGCTTGGTCACGGCACCCAAATTTCCTGTGCGAACAGAGTTTCTGGGTATGCATACTTCCATTTCGCAATTCCGTTAAGCATATCACTAACGCCCATACCAGATCATAATCACACTCATCCCTCTCCTCTCACCTGATTCACCGAAGCTCGACTTTCCGCCGACTTCGTTCGCATCACTCACACCCTTCCTTCCATGTTTAGTTCTCTGCAGTCTGTTCTTCTCTTCCACGATTTTCACTGAGTCGATATCGAAGGCAAAGTACCCTGTTGCATATTCAGCTTACCAAGAGCGTGTGGCAATGTTTTTGCCTTTGCTGACTCCCGTATGGGGTGCGCTTCTGGAAATTCAGGGGAGAAAAGGGAGTGTCGATTCGCTGGTCTACGGCACCGGACTGAACTCCAAGGGCAAGGGGAAGGCCGAATGAGATGATCTTTGCACGTGTTCGAAAGTTTTTCTCCATTTCCGTTGCATTTCCGTATATAGCGAACTTAATTAAACACTGATCGCATTGGCCTCTGAGATATTATCACGTTGAGCTAACGCCAAGCCGCGTGACTGCATGAATGTCATCAGACTGCGCACGGGCCAGTATTATTAGCTCGAGCCTGGTTGTTCTTCTCACTGACAAAGTCATGTATGCATACGGGCTCCGGATATCGGCCAGGACGGAAATCCGCACCGCGCTGCAAGCTACAGACAGAACAGCCACCTTCATCCCCAACTTCATACACCAACCCTTCCAATGACATCGTTAAAGGTCGCAGTGATTACAGGGGCATCCTCTGGTACGTATTGATTGCGCTTTGCACTTGTGCGTAAACCCACTTCCGGTTTCAGGTATCGGACGCCATTCGGCTATCAAGCTCTCTTCTGAGGGTTGGAGCCTGGCGCTGACTGCTCGAAGGCTAGCTCAACTCGAAGAGACAAGATCCCTCTGTGCAAATCCCGATGCATGTATTCTCGTTGCTGGCGACATCACAGACGAAGCTTTTGTAAAAAGCTTGTTCGAGGAGACCATGAAGAAATTCGGCAGACTTGATCTGTTGTTTAACGTGAGTGGTGTGCCCCTTCTTCTGCGGTTTTCGGTACATGGTACATTTTGGTCGTGCATTGACGATGTAACAGAATGCGGGATTGTCTGACAAGGCGAGCCCCATCGAGGAGATGCCGCTCGAGACGTTCACATCGGTCGTTAATGTCAACCTTATTGCTTCATTCCTTTGCGTTCGCGAAGCTTTCAAGATTTACAAGCAACAAGAACCCACTGGAGGTTCGTGAAGCTGGATGATGAGAAACCGCAGTGTATTGATCTACATTGTCCCTATGCAGGGAGAATCATCAACAATGGCTCATTGGCTGCCCATGTGCCAAGGCCTCATTCTGTTGCATACGCAGCCTCCAAACACGCCGTGCACGGTTTAACTAAGACCATCGCCATCGAGGGGCGAAAGTACAACATCTCTGTGACGCAGATTGACATCGGTGCGTACTTTGATAATATTGGAGGAGGTTGATGCGACGATGGTTTTACCAGGAAATGCGCACACGTCGATGGCTGCAGGGCACACTTTAGGAGCATTGCAGCCTGATGGTCGCAGAGTCGTTGAACCGACTTTCGATCCGATACACGTTGCGGATGCGGTTGCGCACATTGCAAGTCTCCCTACGTCTGTCACGGTACTGGAGATGACTATCATGTAAGTGTGCAACCGTTTTTCTTGGGTTCTGGATATTAACTTGTTACGTAGGGCGACTGGTGTTCCTTATGTCGGAAGAGGATGACCGTCGATACTTGAAGTGTCGGCGAGGACAGCAGGATGCAGAACAGTTGTCTGAGCATAATGGCATCGTTGCAGATTTCACATGTACCACGTCCCACGCCGCCTGGGAATGCATGTAGAGTACTATGGAAGTGATATAGATATCATATGTAAGTTGAGACAGCGCGGTGGTCAACATCTTGAGTTTGATTGGTTAGGACCCAGGGAACTGAAGAACCTCGGACGGGAGAGAATGCTATGTTAACATGAGTATCAATTTGCCAGCAAGTTGTAAGTGATAACAGTGCTATGACCGCGGAAGAAATCGCTGGGATGCCTGTCTTTCGTTCACAAACGGATAAGCCGTCTGTCTCATGATCATCGGTCTAGGCCCTTACCACAGTAAAGGGATGATTTGGCTTCTCTCGCTCGTAAATCTCTGGAGATTTTGCCTTCGGGGAAGACCTGTGCCATACTCTTCCAAACTCGTGTTCGCCCCCAGTGGGCCTGCATCAGCGGGTTAGATCGTGCTACAGAGTGCTACGGAGCGCTTCGTAGCACTCTGTAATCATGTGTAATGAGTTACGTTTCCCTGATGCTGAAGACCAGAGTTATTTTCCCTCCGCCACAGGGCTCGCTGCGGTGTCCGCGCGGTTTTATTTTGAAGTGGTGATGTGATCAAAAATGTGGGCGTCACAATCCTGGGCGCTGAATCGAGGCGTAAGTACTCGCGCTTCTGTGACATCGATAGCGCGACGAAGGCTTGGATTAAAGACAACAGTACAATGATTCATGCTAAAGTCATATTCCTTGTAGGATGCATCAGGGAAACGTAACTCATTACACATGATTACAGAGTGCTACGAAGCGCTCCGTAGCACTCTGTAGCACGATCTAACCCGCTGATGCGCATAGAACCTACATCAATAAATGCAATAAATCTGTGCACAAGTTCCGTTTGTATAACTAAACCTACATAGCATCAACCAGTTACACCATAGTCGGGCATACGAATCCCCCGTGATGATGCGAAGATTGCCGGGAGATTGGTATCCAGGGCATCAGCGGGTTAGATCGTGCTACAGGAGCGCTTCGTAGCACTCTGTAATCATGTGTAATGAGTTACGTTTCCCTGATGCGGCCCAGCGTACCGTAAGCTCAGTCAAATGTGATGCGAGTCGCACGTCCCTCTTTGCGCATATAGGCAAAGGCTGTCAGAATCTCAATTTCTCTAAAATAGTCTGCATAAGTTCATGCACATTGTGCTCACACGAGCAGAGTCTTGAATGTCACGTCCGCAGTGAGCACGATGAGATGTCGTCTCGGTATAATTACGTGGGTGCTATTCGGAGCGTGCGGTTCAACCACGAATGTGTAGTCTGCTTAAGGGAGGTTCTGTATGACACAGGTAATTTTGAGTGACATACTCCTTGCAACTGCAGGGTTGTCGCACCGGGAGTACAACGGATCCGGACCTCGCTGATGCGAAAAGGGTGAAAGACGCAGCAAAAGCAAGCGAGGAACATCTAAGAGAGGGTCCGTGTTCGAACCGAGTTTAAAACATGTCTGAAACTTCTCGGATATGGTATAGTCAGGTCAGGCATCCGTAATGACTGTTTTAAGTACTCCGGTATACGTTTGGCGTTCGTAATACTAATATCTGACTGTTTGAAGCACTCCGGTATGCATTTTAATAATTTATTGTAGGTAGAATCACGAAATTTGTGGGAATCTAACACAAAAACTATGAACTATGCTAAAACTGCGAACTATAGTCCAAATTCTACGTTTCAATAGTCAAGTCGAAATCGGAAAGAATGGCAGTAGACCCCTGTTGCGACCTCCCACAAACAATCAGATGGTCTTTCCATCTATCAAGACTTGCCTTCTCCTCCTCACTGAGAGAATTTAGAAAAAAATTAACGCTATCGAATATCGTCTTGTTCTCAGTCGGCGAGAACTTCTGCTTCGTGAATATTAGTTGGCCTTGTTCCAATAATGCATGCTCCGTTATTGAACATGCAAGGCAGTACGCATGATGCAGTGCCTCACGAGGTGATTGGTGGTTGCCGAGTAGCGCGTGAAGTCCGTGATTCGAGAGCCAGATGAGTTTGATGAGCAGGGTGAATATGAATTTATTCTGGCATTTGTTGTGAATGAT